ACATCACCCCTTTTAACATGAATTATAGCACATTTATCTATTCCCAACGTCATGCCTATATTATTACTAAATGATTTAACTATTTCGATCATGTTCTCAAGTTCTTCTTCACTCTTAGAACATAGTTTTAAATCGTCCATATATAGAGCATGAGATTATTATTATTATATATATCTACTAACATTTTTCTTTTTCATATATATGAATCCTGGTACCGAAGTGACCTACGTCAATAAGACCTACTCCCCTAGATTATCGCCACTACGTGAAGAAAAGAATATATGAATTGTGGATCACTGAGTAAAGCAGAAGAGGCGAAAAATTAAAGACAGACTTGATTTTTATAAAACTGCAGAGACAACAAATCAATGCGAAGAATCTGTCTTGGCAAGGATGTGTTACGGTCATACATCTATAATGCATGCATACTTATCTTCCAAAGGGACTACACCCTCCGACCTGCAAGACCATAATGGATAGAAAGAAGAAATTGCAACATAAATAGCAATCTGGACATCGGTCTTGCCAATATTGAGACTGCTGTTGAAAATTCAATAAAGTTTTTAAAAACATCTAATTACTATCATATTATTTAGACAACTCAAACATAACAAATTTTATATGTGAAAAAGTATTATAGTTATTATTAACTATTTAATTGTTCTCATAAACAATGTAACTATATTTAAATATTATTAACAATGTAATATTCCATGTTGAAAAATACCATAAGCTATGTAGTATACGCTAATGCCCCGGCATGGGTGGATGCATTTGTTAAATAAATAAATAATTTTGAGGTTTTATTTAACATGAATCATCATAAGAACTTCTTAAAGGCTGAGAAAACATGAATATAAAAAATAGAGCAAAAGTTATAAAAACTTACTAAAAAGAAATCAGCTTTGGGCGACCAACCACCAGTCTGTTCGTGGTAAACCTCAATTTGATCATCATCCCTCATGTCCAGCTGAAATAATAAATACTATGTTAAGGAGAAGTTTGAGAGTAAATGTAAAAAGTCTTAAGGAATTTCTTAATTTAAAGGGAATAGTATTTTATTACCCTAGCGCGGGTTCATTACCACGTAGGAGAGCGTCCCACGGGTGGCGAATGCGGGGATGGTCGGAGGAAATTCCTCGAAAGTTCCTCCCGGCTAGTTCCGATGGACTCACCCGATGGAAGGAGCCCTCCAGACTTGCTGGAGGGTGTGATTTAGGATTGAACGCCCTACTCACATATTTATAGTTCACAAAATATCAAACAGTCATGGATCATCATAAAGTAAAACTCTCATTATCCGTAATCAAACTAGTCCGCCGTTCGGGTCCCCGGGTGGGTACTACCATATTCCAGGGACGTTGGTTTAAAATCGCGTTGATAAACATACACTGTCCGACCGAAGACAATGAACACAAAGCCAAATGCGAATTTTATAATAAACTGGAGTGAGTATTTGATAAACTACCGCGAAACTACAAATTTTAGGGGACGCTAACGCAAAGGAAGAAGTTTATTTTCCGATGATCGGTAAAGAAAGTTTGCATGAATATAGTAATGATAATGGAAATCGACTAATAAATTTTGCCATCTCAAAAAATCTGATAATTAAAAGTACTACATTTAAACATAAGGATATTCACAAATATACTTGGACATCACCGGATTCGCAAACATGAAATCAAATCGGTCGCGTCTTGATACAACATAAGTGGCAAACTAGTATAATTAAGGTAAGGTCTTATCGCGGGGGAGAATGTGGGTCAGATCATGAATTAGTTATCGCAAAACTTCGACAAAAACTTAATATAAAAAAGAGTAAAGAAAACCGTTGCGATTCTGGGAATTTTGAATGAGAAATTGCCTGAAGAATGGAAAGAATCTATTCTTATTCCGATTCACAAAAGTGTCAGAGGACGGATTGTAATAACTATCGAGGAATTTTACTCCTTCAGGTAGGTATGTTATAAGATATTCACGTCAATCTTAACTAATCAAATCATGGAATACGCTGAGGAAATTATCAGAGACTACCAATGCTGGTTTAGGAGGAACCGTTCGACTATTGATCAAATATTTTCGTTACGACAAATATTAGAGAAAAAATTAGAATACAAAGGTGTTGTTCACCAGCTGTATATTGATTTCAAAAAGACTTACGATTCTATTGACTATTCCGAGCACGCACATACTCTCCCTCCTCCCCCACACACAGACCATTTTGCAGGACTTGTTTATTTGGACTCAGGGGATCTCAAAATTGTATTTCCGTTGAAAACTCAGATTTAAAAATTTTCACGATTGCAATACTTACCTGTACAATATATTACATAAATAGGTAAGTGAAAATAAAAATATGGCATAATAGTGCACACATCACACAATTTTCACTTACAGTGAAACTTTTTTTTGAGTCAAAAATTGAATGTTGTACAGTTAATTCTAATATTTACTTCTAAAATTGAGTAAAACTGTGTCTTTCAGCTTATATTTATATTCTTTTGAATCACTGTTAAAAATTTTCTTTTTAGATCTCCTCACACCAATGACTTTGCGTGTTTAAGAATATAACATTTTTGTATGGTCTCTACAGCATAAATTGTGGATTGTACACAAGATTTTTTGATATTTAATAATTCTAACGTAACCAGCACGCTAGCGAGTAATTATAGTTATTTCTACATATAATTATAGTGATTTCTACGTTAATTGTTACAACATGAACTATTGATAAACAAAATGTTATTATATATTTCTGGGCTTGAATTGTTTAATAATTTTCCAATGGTCAGTCATATGGAGAATAAAGCTTATTTCAGCCCCTTAATAAATACAATAAGGCCCTCAACCTTAGAAAAAAGAAAAGAAATAAAATGAATATCTTATTTCTACTCGGAGCTGATAATTCTACAGAGATCCTCATTAGACGCAAGATAACGTTAGACTATAATTGTTGTTATTCATAGTAGAAATTGTAGTCAGACATAAATGAAAAATATTGTGTTAATTTGGATCTGGGTAGATCTGAAAATCCGATAATACTAAATAATGAAAAATATCAATAAAAAACAATTTATATTCTGAAGGAGCAACCAGTCATATAATAATTAAAGATTTTTATCTTTTATTATTTTTTTCTTTCACAGCTTTATAATATATGCATGAGTATCATTAAAGGCATGTGATGTAACCTAAACATTATGAATAAGCCAATTATAAAATTTATAATTGTAAAAGGATAAGGGTAAAAAGCTACTTAAATGGTGGGAATGTTATTTGTAACCAGATCAAGTGAATGGTCATCTTCTTACTCGTTCAGATAAGCACAGATAGTTTTGGCACTCCAAGAAAAAGTGTGATTGTGAACCTAATCCATTAGGAGCACAGGTAAAATATCAAGGATTTTTGACTGGGTTTGCAAACACCAAAATAAATTAGTAAATCAAATAAAGAAAATACACATGAAACAGGGCAATAAAGTAGGTCTTTGTTATGTCAAATACAGGAAATCTTCAAATTGTAATTGAAAAAAGTAGAACGCTTCTCTTATAATATTTCTATTTGATCTTTATATTTTTACAACAATTGATTTAATTATCATTAATACAACAACAATATTATATATCGATCTCATATATCCGTTGAAAACTCAGATTTAAAAATTTTCACGATTGCAATACTTACCTGTACAATATATTACATAAATAGGTAAGTGAAAATAAAAATATGGCATAATAGTGCACACATCACACAATTTTCACTTGCAGCGGCTGTAAGTCGGTCATTACTGTTCCAGGAGCGGAAGTGGTGTCACTCTCCGATCTGTCATTCTCCGTCACATCTGCATGAGATGGGTATGGCCTTGTTTCCATCATCGGTTCAGAAACCCCACAGGTTTCGCTTCCTGCTGGGGTTGCAGACGTTGGAAAGCCAAGGAATGTAACTGTTTTGGAGGTATCCTTCCTATCAGCCGTAGGTACACTTTTTGGTTGCTCAGGAACATGAATCTGATGCAGTTGGTCTATATGGCGCTTAAGTGTGTGCCCATCTCCATCTAAACTGATTAGGTAGTGCAACCTGCCAAATTTATTAACTACCGTGCCAAACCTCCAAGAAGGCTTATTGTTCGCATACCATCTTGCTTGCACCCTGTCTCCTGCCTGCAGCTGTCGAACCTTTTTGTCTTCTGTTGGTTGAAAGTTTTTAAAATCATTATGCGGCTTAAGCGCATCTAATTTTATGTTTATTTTCCTATTAAGGTATAGTTCTGCTGGTGACATACCACAGGCTAAGGGTGTTGATCGGTATCACAGAAGAATCACCTGGACTTTGGTATGTAGAGGCATCTTAAGCTTTGACATTGCCTTCAATTTATTTGTTAGTGTTTGGATATTTCTTTCTGCCAAACCGTTCGTCGCTGGATGTCCAGGAGTTATAAATTTTTGTTTAATTCCAGCCTTGTCACAAAATCTGGTAAAGATCTCGCTTTTGAAAATAGTCGCATTATCGGAGACTAAATTTCGTGGAAACCCATGATTATAAAATACAGATTGCAACAACTTAATTGTTGTTTGAGAAGTTGGAGCTTCTTTTGATATCCTAGCCTCCACCCACCTGGATTTGGCGTCTACCTGAAAAAATAATGGTTTTCGTACGGCCCAGCGTAATCTACATGAACTCTCTCGAAGTTCTCCGATGGTTCTTCTCAACAATGAACTGGAACCTTTGTTGGATTTTTTCTTACTGTGGCACATTCTGGGCAAGATTTTACAAGTTGTTCAATTTCATTATCAATATTTTCCCAATATACATACCTTCTCGCTAATTGTTTCATTTTAACTATGCCTATGTGTGTATGGTGTAATTCCTTTAGTACTTCTTCTTGGAGACTTCTAGGTATTATAGTCCGCTGACCATTGAAAATTATTCTGTTTTGTAAATGTAGTTCTGAATCATAACAATCTTTGTTTAATAAGTCACTTTTAATTTTCGATAACTTTTCATCTCCTAGCTGTTTCCTTTACTAAAGTTTTGTAGTTTAATGAATTGTTTGAAATATTGTATACTTCTTCATTAGATATCAAATCCACTTCTGTATTTAATTCTTCTTCTATTGCCGTAGTTTCTTCTTTCTGTGGTGTTCTTGATAAATAATCTGCATATGCATTTTCCTCTGCTGGTCGATGTTGGATCATATAGTCAAAATTGGAAAGCCAGGCTGCGTATCTTAGCAACCTAGCGGAAGTCAATGCCGGTAGGTTGGTACTTTCATGGAAAATTCTGCTTAATGGCTTATTATCCGTTATAAGGGTAAAAGTTCTACCAAATAGGAAATAATAAAATTTTTTCAAAGAAAACATTATGGCCAATGCCTCTCTGTCCAGCTGACTATAGTTCATTTCAGATTTAGAAAGTGATCTTGAAACGAATGCGATTGGTTTTTCTATGCCATCAACTATGTGAGATAGTACTCCTGCTATGACAGTTGGAGAAGTATCGCTAGCTACAACAAGAGGTAATTCTGGGTGAAAAGGTACTAAAACTCTTTCATTAGCCATCTCTACTTTTAGTTTTTTAAAAGCTAGTTCACAATCCGATGACCAATGAAATTGTCTTTTCTTCTGGAGTAGTAATCGAAGTGGGTGAGTGATTGTTGAGACATTATGGATAAATCTTGAATAATATGCGACAATTCCTAAAAATCTTTTGATATCGTCTTGATTTTGTGGTCTCGGGGCTTCTGTAATTGCTTCTATCTTTGAAGGATCCTTTGAAATTTTATTCTTTTCAATAATGTATCCAAGATAGTTAATTTTTGTTGTAAAAAATTGGCACTTCTTATGGTTCAAATGTAGATCGTATGTTTGAAGCCTTTCAAGGCAAGCACAAAGCCTACTGTAACACTCTGTCAGGGTTGAACCATGTACGATTATGTCATCAAAATAGGTTGTAACGCCAAGAAGACCTGCTAGGATCTGGTCTATGATGTGATGGAATTCGCTTGGAGCTGTCTTGATTCCAAAAGATGGACGGTTGAATTTAAATGTCCCTTTATGGGTTATAATTGTTTGTATTCTCGCACTCTCTTCATCGACTGGTATATGTAAATATGCCTTAAATAGGTCCAATGTACAGAAAAATTTAGAATCTCGTAGATTACTCAGGATATCATCTATTTTGGGAATCGGGTAGTGCGCTGAGAGTAGCTGGGGATTAACTGACACTTTTTAATCTACACAAAGTCTAACTGACCCATCCGGCTTAGGTATAACGACTAGCGGTGATGCCCAATCACTGACTTGAGTCGGAGTTATAATTCCTTCTCTCTCTAGATTGTAAAGTTCTTCTTCCATTTTAATTTTAAGAGCAAAGGGAACTTCTCTTGCCTTAAAATATACGGGTTTTGAATTTTCTCTCAATTTTATATTACATTGTATTGATTTTGGGCAATCGATTCGTTGCTCGAAAATTGATTTGAAATTTAGATAAATATTTTGTAAGAGATTTGCAGGATTTACGCATGCAATTGAGTTCTTAGCAATAGAAGTATTTTGGTACGGAGACTCCTTGCTGTCCAAATCTTCTAACTTGATGTTTAAGTGCCTTATCCAAGTACGACCAAGTAACGGTATTAATCCGTCTGGAACTACGAACAGAATTTCTTGCGATAGAATGTTCTTATATTGTACGGGAACTTCTACATATCCTAATGGAATAATTCCGGATGTATAGGATCTGAACCGTATGTTTGTACTTTGCATTTTCGCATTTAGATGGAGCTCATAAAAGTTAGTTTTGGGTAATAATGTCTGTCCTGCACCTGAATCAACTTCAAAAGTTTGGAATTTATTTTCTATTTTAATACTAACAAAATATTTTTGCGCATCTTGAAATTTTTGAACAGTTTGATTTGCGTAAATATCAATAATTGGGTAGATATCGTAAGCTTCCAATGAATCTGAATCAGAATCTGTGCCTTCGTTTTTCACGGAGTTAATATTTTTCTTTTCAGAAACCAACTTTTTAAAACATACTTTTTCTACGTGTCCTGTTTTTTCACAATGTTTGCACCTTATCTTCTTAGGATTTATTCTGCAATCCTTGGCGTTGTGATTATTACGACCACAGCGAAAACATAGTCCATCAACTCCAAGATTCTTAAAATTTATATCTTGTTTTTGTTGAATTCTCAGACGGGTTCTAGAGTTTCGTTGGACTCGAGGGGTGGAGGAAAATTTAATTGCCCTCGAAAGTCTACCAACTGAGGGGTCTATGATATTTTCTCCGGAAATTCCATTATTGTCCAAAATAGATGCCTCTAATGCTAAGGCCTTAGATTTAGCTTCATTAAATGTTTTTGGATTTTGTAACAGCAAATATTGTCTCATTGATTGGTCACTCAAGCCTCTGATGAACTGTGATAATAAGAAAATATCTGCAACTGACTTCCCATATTCACACAGAAATTGACATCTAGAAATTATCTTTTTTAATTCATTTGCATATACATTTATTTGTTCATTTGCATTCTGTTTTTTTGATAAAAATCTGTCTGTCTACTACTACACTTGATTTTACACATAATTGATTCTTTAAAGTTTCAATTACATCTTTGTAATTAAAGTTATAAATTTCTTGAGGTGCGGCGGCAATCTTTAATAGTTCGTAAGTTTCTGCACCTATGCTATTTAAGAAAATAGTCTTTGAGGCGGTTTCATTGCTTTTTAAGCCTTTCATTAGTACAAAATTTTCAAATCTTTCTAGGTACTAAGAAAAATTTTCTTAGTTTCATAGAAATTTTCAAAATTGTAAGATTAGTAACACATTAATGTTCAGACTGTGATTGATTTTCATCAAAAAAGCTTGAAATTGTGCCTGTTGAGCCACCAAAAATTGTGAAAATTCCTCGGCATTCATTTTTGTTGTTTCCTCTTCTTTGGATTTAATGCTTTTACTTTAATTTTTTTTATGTACAAATTGACAACAACTGTTCGAAAGGGAAGTTTATTATTAAGAACACTGGTATAAGTTTACTATTATACTAGTACCTACTTGACTTTATCCTCGTCGCCAATTTGTTATGTCGAATACAGGAAATCTTCAAATTGTAATTGAAAAAAGTAGAACGCTTCTCTTATAATATTTCTATTTGATCTTTATATTTTTACAACAATTGATTTAATTATCATTAATACAACAACAATACTATATATCGATCTCATGTGTTTAATCCCGGGTGATCGATAGATACAACAGTCTTTGTTCATTGTGATCAGAGCACTCCCTAAGATAGTCAAACTCAAGTTGGTCCAATCTGTTAAACTTAGTTCATTTTATGACCAGAGATGTATGAGACTATAATTTGTCATTAATGAAAACAATTATAACTTGCAAAAACTAATATAGACAATTAATATTTACTGAAAAAACACAAATTTTGGTATTTGACTGATCAATAACCATAAAAGTTCTTTTAATTAAATAGTAATAACTTGAATACCTGCTTTGGAGTATCATCATCACTGATCCTCTTCCCATCAAATAAAAATCTCAACCCAGACACAGGTACCCCCTTGGGACAAAAAATTATGTATACATAACCTAGGTGAAAAAACCTCTCAACATCTATTTAATTATCTATTTGAAACAAAAAATTTTTGCTTACCACATGAGTGCTGTAGGATTTTTTTAATTTTAAAAGTTGAGTGGTCATTTTCAATCTAAAATGTATTCCATTCTGGTCCTACAACATCCAAGGAAAAATTCAATTAAAGAATATGGAAAAAAACATTTTAAAAATATGAGGAAACAATTAAAAACAAGATTACATTGCCAACAACTTTAAGTTTGATATACTTGGAGCCATCACTATCAGCACCATCAGCAATGTTGTTTTCAGTGTTAGGTTGCCCACTATCATTGTCATCATCTTTGTCAGGAGCTTCATTAGTTGTTTCAGGGGTTTCCTATGGCAATTATTTAGCTTAGCATTCACAACACTACAATCTAAACAACTTAAGTGACAAATAAATACCTCCTTATCATCGGACATTCTAATCGACTTGCACAATTATTTTAGAGAAAACAAATCGAAAATTTAAATACAAAACTGGTCAATCAAGGTTACCAAACAAACATTATTTATTAAACATTAACAAAAAAATATATATATTTCCATTGGCTAATCTAAAGGAAGTGAACAGATGGATAAATTTTAATTACGGAATGTAATTTTGGTAAGCACCGCTAATGACGTCACTAAATTATCTTATTGAATTCAAACTAGTAAATATAATTTAAATATATTATTTAGGTTCTTAAGTTCTATGAAATGTAACATGTCATCAAGATAATAAAATCCTAAGTCAAAGTAGCGTTAATTAATCACACAAAATTTGCGTTTACAAACAAGTACTGGAAGGTAACTTAAGTTGGAAGAGACGATTTCATGAAATGTTAGTACAAACTGTTTTGTTAATATTTAAAATTAAAAGTTCTTATATGCAATATTTATATATTTTTGTATTTATTAGTTTATCGAAAAAATAGAATTCTTAAAAATATTCATTGTATAAACACATTTTTGAATAATGCTAATTTTCAGGTTGTTTTCCTTAAAAGAAGGTTACATATAAAATGGTTTTGTAAACTACAGGGATGTTTTTGTGCTAATATTATGACTGACTATTTACGTTTAAGTATACTTTTTACTTGAAGGGAAGTTGTTTGATTGTGAAGACGATTCAATCAATATTTAAAAATGACATTAATGGAATTCGTAGGTTGTGCCTGTACAGCATACAGTCCTGTTTTAACATTGTGTATGTTTACAGTTTTTCATGATCCGATTAGAATAATAATTTTAGTGGCAAGTGCGTTCTATTGGCTACTTTCATTGTTATTATCCGCGATATTTTGGAATTATATAACATTCAGACATGTATTACCCCTTTGTATTATAGTCTCTGTAATATTTCAAGAAATTTTCAGGTATATTATGTATTACATTCTCAAAAAGGCTGAACAAGGATTGAAGAAAATTAATGTTCCAAGTACTAATAAAGACATAACCAGTAACAAACATGTTGTGCCTTTTGTATCTGGTTTAGGATTTGGTGTGATGAGTGGGTGTTTTTCTTTAGCTAACATACTTGCGGAATTGGCTGGACCTGGAACTGTAGGACTCAAAGGTGGCTCAGAGTATTTTGGACTCATATCTTCTGTTCATACAATGATATTTACGCTTCTACACACTTTTTGGAGTGTCATATTTTTTCTTGCTGTTGAAGAAAGGAACTTTTGGCAATTAAGTTGGGTTATTGGAAGCCACCTACTGGTTTCATGCATGACTCTATTTAATCAGTCTGATATGTTTTATGTATCATTACCAGTAGCATTTTTAGTTCTTTTGGTAACAGCTTATATTTCTTTATGTTGTGTTTGTAAAAGATCTGTACAATCGATATCCCTGCATGAGCACGTACAAAGTTGAAATAATGTTTGCCATATTGGCATCCGCAATAAGCTGTTATATTGGAAGTTTAGTTTTTCATTATCAGTGCTCACGTTTCCATTTAGTATCTGTAATACGACACATATAATGTTATTTAGTATAATGTACAATAATTCATATAAATAATTTTTTACCAAGTGTCTTGATAAATAAATCGTGGTTTGCCTAATTGGATGCAGAGCCCATTCTGCACATTAGTTTTAAGTTTTGATTTTGCTGAATAAATGAATGTTCATTATGGAAATTTATAATACTAAAGAGTAATAGTTGTCTTATTGTTTTATGAAAGCCGTCCCTTTTTGGAATCATGGTCTTAATATGAACTAATGGCCCTAATATCTATCCTTTTCAGAACTGAAACATATCTTCTTTTAATGTAATTAAATACCTGGTAATTAGTATTTGTTTATTTATTTAGAATATTCTGGATATTTTTTTATTCTTTAAGAGTAATATTTAATTTCTCTCTTCCCATCCTCTAATGTATGTAAACTGTCTCAACAGTTTTATTTTAACATATTACAAAAATAAACTTTAAAATGGGGGATAGTTCACACCTTCAGTGATTATGTTACTCTATAAACTAGAATAATTTGTTTGATGTAAGCAAAACCTGATGGAGTGATTGAATATGGTTTCTCAATACAACTGAAAGGAAGTTATCTTTAAAACAGAATTATTTCTGAAAGTTGGAATCAAAAAAGTCTGTCTTGTCCTAAAGACCATCCATTCTGTGTTTTATAGTAGCCAATTAACTTTATAATTATCATCTAAATTAAATGATTCTATAAATTAAAGTGTTTGATGAATATGTACTTAGATTTCTTTTTTATAATGGCTAATTATCATATATCATGTTTTAATTAAGAGGAATAAGTATTGTATTGGTTTAGATTTTTCTGATTTTAGTCTCTTATTTTCATATTTAATACTTATATTAAGCCTGCTGTTATATTAAGTATTAATTAATTTATTAGTTTTAAGAAAGCTTTCACTGACATTAACTACAGGTTTTGCTTTTCTGATGAAAAGTAATAGTTTTGCTAAATTTTATAATTATTAATTGTTAATTAATTAAAACTATATTTTATAGTTTGTTCCTGTCCGTATTCCATTCTTTGCAAGTACTATTATTGAATTGTTTACAAGTAGAATGATACAATCACTGTTTCTTAAATTCATAACGCTAATTTATGTATTGTATAATTTTTTAAAGAAGTGTCAATTTGTTGAGGTCACCTTCATTTTTTTTTTATATATTAACCAATATCGTTTTTGTACATTGCTTTCAATATAATATCAATAATTTATTTTAAAAGTGTATTTAGTGAACTTCGCCAATTCCCTCTTAATTCAAATTGTAGATGGCAAAAATACACAGAGTGCTTATTACTGATACAGTACAACTCCATTGTCAAAGGAAACCAGGATTAAGAGGAAAGTTTGATCTTTTTTTATATTGAATTACATACAAACAATAACTTTTATGGGGAACATAAATTACATCAGTTTTTCTCTACATTGGAAGAGAAAATTAGATGGATAATTCTCTGGAACAGAATACCATGATCTTTACAGTTTTAGTCTCCTGGGATGAAACTTTTATCGGAAATTTGAAAGAAAAAAGATTTACTGAGGGAGCACTTAAACAAACGGTTTTCAATGCAAATAGGGATGGTCAGGATCTGGAGGAGCCCTTTGGAATTGCTCCAAGAAACCAGACCAGGACAAGGGATTATAGTCTGAGTTAAAAAAAACCTGGTTTACCAGTATGTGAACTTGTAATTTTTTTATCATCTGTGACTTTGGTTATTAGGTTGCCCAGCACCATGCCCCTACTTTCACTTACCTGTATGATAACGGAAAGTATTGTGATCATGAAAATTTTCTAAGCTCAGTTTTCAATGGAAATACATGTTTTGTGGTTCCCTGGATGCAAATAATCAAGTCTGCAAAATGGTTTGTATGTGAACAATCTAGCTCAAAAACAAAAAGACAGAATTGAAATTGTATATTTAAGGGTTGTATATACCAGGGATGTAGCAGCAACAGTTTTTTTTTTTTCTCCATGTAAAATTAAGCGGTTTTTAATATAACGTTGTTCTTTTTCTCATTGATGTTCTTTAACATGGTTGTGTAACGCCTAATTTTCAAAATTACTTTTTCTAAAGTATCTTTGATTTTTTTATTTGAAATAATTAACCATTTCAAATTGTAAACTGATTTAAAAAATGGTTAAATGTTACGAATGAAGAAAATTGATTGATAAATAAAGGAGGAATAAGGGTTGAAAGATATATGGAAACAGCCGAGAGGTCCGACCGTTCCCGATCCTGTCTCTTTACAAATACCCGATAACTTAAAAGAAATTAAAGAACGTTAAATTGTGCGTTGAACGAGTACCTAAACTCATTGCCGACCTTAGACATTCGGCGCCCTCTGCCCCGGGCAATGACGTTAGCTCTCCTCACCCTAAAAATATTAAATTTATTTCTTAACTGTTGAATATTATGTAATATTTGAATTTTATTGCGTTTAACATTTATCTAATAAAGTTACTTTATTAGTAGGCTAAAATTAATTATTTAATTAAGTTATGTAAGGTCTATTCATGAATACGTAAGTGAGTTACTCATAGCAGCACCAGCGTCTAACACCCAATAAATGAAAAAAGTGCAAAATAGGGCAGCCCAAATTATACTGGCGCCCCCAAAGCAATCCCTATTGATGCTATAGAACCCATCAAGGTACGAATTGAGATCGCTGCTCAAATAATGAGTGAGAAACCAACTGATGCTTCGGGAAACTGACTACAGGAAGGAATGTAAACCTGCCACAACGAGGCTTATAACCCAAGTCACGTTCATGAAATTGGAGATATTAAAGGACTAGTTATTTCTTCAAGAGGAAATTTCATGAAAATGGGTCTCCACAAATCAACACAGCTCCTGCAACCAATCAACAAGTTGCTCTAACATAGAACAAAGGAATTTAGCACTTCAAACCATAAGAGATAGGTACTCCAGCCCCCCATGATTACAAAATTACAAAATCCACAATCATAGAATAATGGCAAAAGATCAGCCATATATACCAATCTCTTTCTTGACGGCAAAAACGCCAGTCAAAACATTAATCACTGGAGAATTGGAACAGAAATGGCAGTTGGAGTTAAAGGAGAAGCAATGGGCTCTCCATTTGCTTCATTACTTACTTACTCACTAGGTAGTTCAGCATCCCAGAGTGGGCCTTGGCTTTCTGAATTATAACATGCCAACATTACTATTGCTCGCTCTTTCCTTCCAGTTTCTCACACCCAGTGTTCTAAGTTCGCTCTCAACTTCTTGTGACCATCTTTTCCTTGGTCTTTCCCTTCTTTTTGTGCCATACATTGTAGAGAACAATGCCCTGTAAGGCATCCTACTGTTGTCCCTTCTAACGACGTGGCCTAACCACTCCACACTCTTAATTTTAACGAAATTAACTATTATGTGAAATTATGTTGGCGCTATTATATAATTCATACAGCTCCGCATTTTTTCTATACCTACACACATCCTCTTCACAAACAGCTCCATAAATTCTTCTCAGTATTTTTCTTTCAAAAATATTCAGCTTATTAATTGTGCTAGTACAAAGAGTCCATGTCTCCGCTGCATAAGACACAATAGGTCTTACTAAAGTCTTATCTTTGTTTCTCGTGACAGAAGCGATGATCGAAAAAATGTTAGGTTGGCTTAGTACGCCCGGTTTGCAGCCATGATCCTCTTGTACACCTCAGCAGCAATTTTATTTTCAGAATTCACTTCCAACCCCAGGTATGTGATTTTTTTTAATAGAAAAAAATGGAAGAGTACCAGTGGATCTCCATAAAAGTGAGGGAGTTGCACAGTTTAGGATGAAAACCGAGCATGACTATCTCCAAAGCCATCTCCACCGTATTTGAGTTGTCGAATAGGCAACATGTCCACTGTGTAGACAAGGATCCATCACAGCTCTACCTCTATTGTTTAGTACCGGAATATAGGACATTAGAAACTAAGCCAGGGCTGAGGGTAAAATTTACTGGGCAGTTAGATAATCAAGGCGTACGATAAAAAAAAATAATACGTTTTGTATATATTTTGTTTATTTGTTACAAGTGGCGTGCGCCCCTAATGATAGACCGACTCCTCCAAGGGCGCCCCTCCAAGTCGGCGCCCCGGGGCAACTGCACTGGTTGCACCGCTCAAGGCCGGCACTGCCTAAATATATATATAGTATAGTCAATAACCACGGTCAGTGAACGCTGATTTTTTTACTAAATTCGTCAAAAACTGAGACTAATGACTATAAATGGCCTTGAAGCATGGAAAAAATTCTGTAACAGAAAAAACTCAGAATAAAAGTTGTAAAGTATCGCATTCCGCGTCCATTTAGTACCAAAAGTTTAAATGTAGGTCAATTATACCTCTCAAATCGGAATTAGATGTTTCTTTATTAAATTTGGTTTCTTTTGATACCACGTTTCTCAAAATCCTTTACTACTGAGAGGTGGAAAAGATTCATATACTGTATATACTAGACTCTTAACAAGAATAACTCAGCAGAATAGAAACTCATACTATTGAAATATTTAACATCACAGATGTCTTCATTATCAATCTCCAGCCATCACTATTCACTACCCATTTCGAGCGGAGTAAGTGATCTAGATTAAAACCGTTGGTACTCAGTGGACGCGAAATTTGAATCTCCACATTTATTCTTTGAGGTTTTTCCTTAAAGAACTCATTTCAAAGCTTTAGGAGCATTTATAGTCATTTGTTTCAATTTTAGATCAATTTGGTAAAAATCAGCGTTCGTTGACCGTGGTAATCGAACATACCACTTAACAAAATTATTAAGTTTAGGTACTCGTTCGACGCATAATTTAATGTTCTTTAATTTCTTACAAAGTATATTTTTCGCTTCAATGCACATTTTAGAAGTTATAGGTGAAAAAATCTGGCTGGTAAAAAGTTTTTCGTTGGTGTCCCGCGTTAGAAATTTTGTTTTTACATGTCTCAACCCATAAAAAATTTCCACATTTTTCACAATAAATTTTCCTTTTCGATTGTCAAGTTACTGACCTAATATTCTTTAAATCAGTCGTCATTTTTACAGGTAGCAAGATCCGACTGGCAGACTCATTTGGTAAATGAGGCGTTTGCTATCAAAACCAGCTCATTCCATTTTTGGAAATTTTACACGAGAGACAACAAAAAACTTCTCACGTCCACAGTTCTAAAGCTATAAATTTTGTTTTTTAATTTTTAATTGTAGATATAACCGCCTAGATTTGAGCTATATCCCTTCCTCAGGTTATGAAGGACCCTCTAAATGTTCAAAATATACAAAAAAGTGGATTTCAGAAAAATATGGAATGAGCTGGTTTTGTTAGCGAACGCCAAATATAAATAATAAAAAATTGCTTTAAAAAGTTTTCATCAAATAATGTCGATTTTTTTTTACACGGGCTCTCGAACTATCTTCAAGGCAGTCAAATTTCGCAGTCTGTAATTGTATACTTCAGCTTTGAAGCAACTCTTGAGGAAAAAAAATACATTGAGTTAAGTCCAGAGATCAAGCAGGTCATTGAACATCACGCTTCTTTGAACCAACCTTCGCTACAAGAATCTGCTTCACAACTCCCATCGATATCCAGGCCGTGTGCGCTGTTGCTCCTTGGCCATAGAGTTGGAAAAGAACCTCATCGCCGAACATGACAATGGGTAACTGGAATATCATAAAGGACCTGTCGGCAAATATTGAAACGGTTTTCGATATCTCTCCATAACAGTTCCTATAGAATTTTCATTTTGTATGTGTGAAAAAGAAATATAGCATTTTTTTTTCCTGTTTCTAGACTTTTCGACTATACATTAACCATCTCCCAAACTGTCCTCACAACATACTACTACTTTACAATATCATCCTATAATGTAAAAACCTTCTGGTTTATGGAATAGATGAATATAAATAAACATTTTATACAACGGTTAGTTTTTTATTTATGGTCTTATGAAATGGAAAAGGAAATATTACTTCACCAAGTAGATATTGTTTTATTGTGACTGAAATTTTCGTTTATATTAAAAAATAATAGAATAGAGCAAGATATCCTAGCATCTTTAGTTGATGTTGTTTCTGAAATGTTTAAAATGGGTTTTAATTTCCTCAGAGCCCATCCTTTTTCCCACACTACTACTTTACATGACCCTATAATGTAAAACTCATTGAATAGATGGATATAAATAAACATTTTGTATGATGTTAACTTTTTATTTGTGGTCTTCTGAAGTGGTAAAGTATTGCCTTTAAAGTATCTTCTAACCAGGAGTGCCCATCCCCCCCAAAATTGATGGCTCAAGAACCTACCTTCTTCCTCTCCCAAGATATTTTATTGCTCATTTTAAAAAAAGAAACAGCTAGGCAAAGTAGAATTAGAGAAATCATAGACCATACACAATTACACTTCCTGTGGTCTGTTCCATGTTTTCTCATTGTTCCTTATTCTGAAACTTTTCATTCCGATAATTCATAACCCTGTTGAAATGTGTTCCCCTCAAAAATGTAATATAGTATTTTATGTATTGACCGCACCCCTGACTAACTTCTTCAGAAATAAGACTCTACGGCCAACCATCTCCACACCATTAGAAATTACTTTTTCTTCAACCCAATATAATTAATGAATTATTGAAGGAAGCTAGTCGACTGTTCTACATATCATGGGTGATAAATATTCAGGACACAGTCATTATAAACATTTTTTTATTTGTGCCAACATTTCAACCCAAACATGTGGGCCATCGTCAGTGCTTGATTGAATGGATGACATGTTTGGGTTGAAACATCGGCATAAATAAAAAAATGTTTATAATGACTGCGTCCTGAATATTTATCACCCACAACATAATTAATGTAATTATAGTCATTCAGTAACTTCATGATTTGACCCTGTAAGTTTATTTTTCTCATGTCTTGATGAGCACCATAACAATTGAAAGATCTTTTTAAAAAAATAAAATAAAAGGTAAAGAAGAATTAACTTCCATCGCTTAATCATATTAATTTATTTATATGCATAGTTGAACATATGTTAATAAATCGTACATATTACAGAATCAACAAAACTTCTTTAATATATATTTATAGTACTATTTACAAACAGTTGAAATTTGCCTGGCTGGAGATAATTTCTTGCTTATTAACTACAAATATAATAAAATTAAAATTTAATTATGCTTTCAGAAATAAGTATAATTATAAGCAGGGAAGATAATTAAATCTTTGAGCTCCTTTTCGAATCTTTAAAAAAATTATAGTTATTTTTTATTATAATTATTTTTTTATTTATTTTTTTTTGGGAGAGGACACAATGCGTATTTACAAGCAATACTCAAAATGAGCATTAGAATAAAATATATGCAATATTACAATATAAACATTAAATTACATTTATTCATAATTTACAAATTCTGAAAAATATATTCTTTCTCTAACATAAAATTAATATTTTAATCTTCCTGATTAAGTACCCTTAAATTAGAAATAAAAAAAAAGTTAAAGGAACTCAAACATAGGCAACTTATTATAAGCCACCATTTTAAAGGTGGAACTTTAATAGGCAGTTGTTAACTTTGGACAAATTAGTCATGTCTATATGATTGGTGTGTTAGATACGTAAGACCAGCCAGCAACTCAAATCATCAAATATAATATTTTATCATGTGGCAAAGAATATCACAGTTAATATAAAAAACATCAATTGTCGTTCATTTCAAAGAGGCAAAATTGTTATTTAATCAAGCACATCAAACCTATTTTTACGATAATTAATTATAAAAAATTAAATATATTAACTTTTTCAATTTAATCCTTAAAGCTTGAGCAATGTGCATACATATTTTCCCCCTAGTTTTTGCTTAACTTATTACACTTCAATAAACAAGGGTCACTTTAAAACAGCTGCGAGTTATCAATTCGGGAGGGACTAGTTTATATATACATTTTTTCACGCTTACATAATTAGAATAAAAGATATTAATTGTCTTAACATATATTTAAAAAAAAATATTAACATGAAAGATAAACATGTACTCTTTAAAGGAACTTAGCATTCTACGTCATGCACGCAAGGTGTTCTGTAATATCACGTAAGTTATAAACAAAATTAGGTAAAAGACGCACACATACACATTTATGAATATATATATATATATATATATATATATATATATAAAATTTTATATCATCTAAAACAAAACACACAGAGAACACTAACAGTCCTTTTTTTAATTTTAAAACTAAATAACCTCTATTGATTTTATAATTTGATTCCAATTCTCACTGGAATCTGATAATACATATATAGCTTTTTACAATATTGTCTAGTTAAAAGTACTTAGAAAAGATATTTTAGGCTCCTAGAACATAGGCGCATCTGTGTCAACAGTTTATTTTGAAAACTATTAATATTAACATGATGACTAAATGGTATTGACATAATTTTTAAATAACAATTGTTGCTGGGATTTAGGAAAGGAAGAAAGAAATGGCAGAATAAAGAGCTAACTTAAAAGATAGGGCAGATGAATTTATTGGGCTAGAGGGCATCCCTATGCCAAACCCATTTCTTGTTAGTATGATCGAAGCGATGGGCCAACCACTGCTGCTCCAGGAGCTGGTACCGCCCGGGGCTCAGGTAAAGTGGTTTACCTCGTCTGCAAAATTAAATACGTTATACTTAATATAATATTTAAAAATGCAACTAAGAAAGCATTAAGTCATATCAATAATTACATTTTCTTACGCTAATTGTTAGTCCCATCAAAAATTCATCTCTACCTAAAAGTTGGATAAAATAAATTTTTTACAAATAGTTTTTATTGATTTTTTTTTTTACTGTTGTGCTTAATAATTCAAAGAGGATCTTAAATCTTATCTTAGTTATTTCTGAAATTATAATAACTCTGAGCACAATTTTCAGTATTACCTGAGAAACATCAAAATTGTCTTTAGGATTGTTCCTCACTTTCAATTTATTTTATTTAGTGGAATATTGAATTTCAGATAGTAAAATATCTAAATATGAAACAACCACAGGTTACAAACAACAGATTAATTAAGAGATGTTTTGTTTATATAAAATTAATGCATTTTTATCAATCAATTTTACATAGCGGCAAATCAAATTGTTGGATTTAGTAGCAAAAGAATGCTTATAAGATTAATATCAGCTGTGTCAAGATGAAAGCGGCGTCAGAGGGTAGACTGAAGAGAAGATAGAAAGATAGTATTAATGTTGGCAGAGATTGTTTTTGGATGGTGGCCAGTGGAGGGAAATGTATAGGCAATGATTGGTGGTACCTTGGGTTCGCTAAGCCTTTTGTTATTTTCAATTAATTCTTTAACATCAGGCATGAATCCATTCTGATATTAGAAGGCCCTCGTGTGGCATACCCAGCCTCTATAAAGTGGATACTCTTAATTAAATAATAAATCAAAGAGGAAAACCTAGCGATTGAGGGTGATCTTGGTCCAATCACCTCCCTCCACAACACTGTTGGCCTTGAAACAGAACCTACTTACAAAGTACTTGACCAAAGATCCTTAATGAATAGTAGTGGTACAGGTATTTTTTTTCTTCTTTTCTTCTCAATTTTATATTATTATATTAATAACTATAACTTAGTTATTCTCTGTTGTTAAATAAAAAATTAGGTAATAAATTTTGATTTATTGTTAGTTAAATTTTATTTTTAAAATACCAATTATTATATATTTTTAAAATACTTCATTCATCAGATTAAAAACTATTAATAATTAAGACAAAAATTTTATTGTTGTTACAAGTGATGCCCAAATCCAAATTCCTTATAATTTATTCTATGGATAGTTTAAATGTATATTTAATTGATTTATGAATATTATCTGGTAAGTAAAATAACATTATGGATTAATTCTGTTTGTAACTTTGATAAATACATTTTCTATACAAGTCGTGACCTTATTGATTCATTATTTTTATTTGATCTGTAATAAAACAGCATATTAGTAAATCTATTTAAAAACTTTTACCTAAATTTACTTTTACCACCATTGTCTAGTAACTCCTCATTGTCTAGTAACACCTATCTTTATATACAATATAGTAATCTAAATACCTTCTCCGGCTCTCAGGACAGATGGATTTTGAACAATGAGATATCATTCTTCAAAATGATAGTCACATCACCCTCTAAATTTTAGGCAAAAAGTTATGGAAGAAAATAAAATTTATTTGCGAATAACTCAAAAAGTATACGTTATTTTCCAGATTGCACCCATGATCATTTGATACTAAACCCTCTACAAAACAAAAAAATAATCATCGAAATCGGATAATTCTTATCAAAGATACAGACTACAATAATTTACACGTTTTAGTTTATTATTATGACTGAACTAATGTGATTCGACTTAAAAAAAGAAAATTATTTCCTCAATGTTCTTGATTCCTTGAATTATAATTCATCTCAAATTTATGTTTTTGTTTTTTTCCATGCAAACATCCAATTTAAGTAGGGAGATGAAGTATTTTAATAGATAAATTTTTTAAAAGTTAATTAGACTGATTCCAATGGCCATTGGCTGCATCTATTTAAATTTATTTATTTTCATTGATAAATATAATTTTTTTAACTTGAGAAAGAACTTAGCCTCCTAACTGTAGATGTTGACAAAATACTTACTTGAGCTCCCTGTCTTCTTCCCCAAAGGTATCGAGGTAGACAGAGCCCCAGAGGCAGGCCCGCTTACCCCTGATGACTATTACGTAGCTGCTGGTAACAACAAGATAGGCTGCGGTTCCAGCTCCACAGTCGATGGAATGCTGTACGGCTTCGCACATGTTGGCCTGTTTGCAGCAGCTTTCTTTCAAACAAACCAAGGCGCCACAAAGAAGACAAATGGAAGTCTCCCTTGGTACACTCTGGCACTGGGAGCACTGTCGACGATGATAAAACTAGAACATAGTACAGAGAATTATTATTTTATCTACAGTCTAATATAATTTTAAATTAAAATGAAAAATGAGAATATACATTATATTTATTTTGTTATATATTTATTCAAACTAAAATGATAAGATAACTCAAACAAATTAATATGAATATTTAAAATGTTTACAAATCACTATTTCACTTGTCGATTTGTCTATGACATATCATAAGAATCATCTTATTTATCTCATATTATAAATTTTAAATTTCAGTAATCTTTTACTGGAAGAGTTCATAGTCTTTGGTACGGACCCCTTTTTATTCTTTAACATCCGACTGAAACTTTGTAAATAGCTCCATCTTGTCGTAATCTATACATATTTTATTTATGAAAATTCTTGGAAATGTGGAGTTTTCAATCTGGAGGTCGGCAAACTTTGTCTATTTAATTAGGTATTAAAGACTCCTAAATAGCAATTTTTTTTCCACTTTAATCGTAAGATAACTTGAGAATAAAGTCTAGAAAAAAGGTGCCCTTCATAAATGTTGAGCCATTTGGCCGCCCAAATTGTCAAAATAATGAGGTTATATAGGCCAAAGGGCTCAATATTTTTGAAGGCCACCTTTTCCCTTGACTTTGTGCTCAAATTATCTTATGATTAAAGTGGAAAGCAAATTTATTAATTCAAAAAATATTAATTTACGAGTTTTTAGTACCTAATTAAATAGACAAAGGTTCCCGACCTCCAGATTGAAAACGTCCCAATTCTGAGATTTTTCGTAAATAAAATATTTGTAGGTTATGATGAGATGGAGCTATCTACAAAGTTTCAGCCGGATGTTAATAATTTGCTAAAAAGCTGTCTGTACCACGGACTGTCAGATCTAATACTTAAATGTTAAAAAATAGAGTTTAAGCCAATAAGCTTCATTGTCTCAACATATGTAGAGTTCATTCTCACTAATTCAAACTAATCAGAACTAGAACATTTTAAAACTCATTTATTTTTTTTTAAAATTCAATGTAATTTATAATTATAATTACTTATATGTTTTCTCCATAGGTTTTCTTATTCAATAAATATAAATTTAAAATTTATAAAAATAGCTGAACATAAATAAAAAATAACAATACAAAATTTAAAAAAAAATTTGAATGGTGATCAGGAGCAAAATTCGGTGCCAATGTAAGTTTCTTAAAAAGTTTAAAGTAACTTATATTTACGAGACGGAGTTGATCGGGGAGGGGGGGAGAGGGTGCGGTCAAATTAATAATGAATTAAACAAGTAGAAATATTTAATTTTTGCCGATGTTTCGACCCACTTTGCAGGTCTTCAACAGGGCATAGGATGTAGCACTGCGGGAGAAACACTGCAGTGTTTCAACTGCCTCCCGCAGTGCTACATCCTATGCCCTGTTGAAGACCTGCAAAGTGGGTCGAAACGTCGGCAAAAATTAAATATTTCTACTTGTTTAATTCATTATTAATTTGACAGCACCCTCTCCCCCCCTCCCCGATCAACTCCTTCTCATATTATATCAACGGTCAACCATCTCTACATCAACTTATATTTACGTTTATTTTTCAAATTTATATTGTTTCTTAATATTTTTGAAAAGTATGTAAAGTTGAGACCATTTTTATTATAAATTTTTAGATAATTTTTTATTAAAATAAATATGGAAGTGATACAGTACAAAAGAAAAAAAAAAATTAAAATAATTCAAGTAAATGATACTAAAGAAAAGCATCAACAAATAAAATTTGCTAACACACTTTTAGTATAATACCTGAAATATTCTGTCGTAAAGTGTGTGTAGTTTTAATAGTTGAGGTTGTGTCCATGATATATGTTGCTCAGATAGTAAACCACGGGCTGTCACCTGACTTCTATTAATAAATTCCCCGAGTTCTCTCATCCATTCAAGAACGTGACGTTTCGAAGGCCAAGAGAGAGCAACAGCAGCATTAAACCTACAAAAAAAAATTAAGAATCCAAAAAAATTTGTATATATTGTAAAAACTGAGATAAACAAATGAGAATTTTCAACATAAATATATATTTTATCTAATCAAAATTCTTTCTTAGAATAAAAAAAAAAAATGCAAAAAATATAGTACTTTTGTTAAATTAAGAAATGAAAATAGCTTTAATTAATGTTATGACTAACTTAATCCATTGTTTTCTGCTCTATTAAGAAGAAAAATGTGGTGCGTATATCACAATACTCTCATTTACCGCTCTTCTTTGAATAGAAATTATTTTTTGGCAATGTTGGTCCATTATAAAATTTTAGAAGTGTATTTTTAATGGAGCTAAAGCTTAAACCATACAGTTAAGAACTCATTAATATCATTATATTGACTGACGGTAGGCAACAAAAACCTTGTAACTCCCTCTGTTTTTGTAAACAACACAATTGCAGTTTCTGAGCTATATTTACTCAGAGAGGTTTGAAAGTACATCTGTATATTTAACCAATAAATGATTATGGATGCACTAATATTATATGGAAGGACCTGTTTTATGATCTCCTTGAAAGGACCTTTGATGCGTGCCCTGGATATAATATGAAGATAGTTGCAGGAGATTTAAACGAGAAGATCAGGAAAGAATATATCTATACCCTAATTGTTGGAAAGCATAGCCTTCATGAAGCTAGCGATGATAATGAAGCTCGACTGGTAAACTTTGAGGTATCCGGAGATCTTGTGGGTGGCAATCCCTCACAAGAACATGCAAAGATAAATGGATCACATCTGACAGATCGAATGTTAATCAAATCGATCACTTGCTGATAGGTAGGCGACATAAATCTAATTTGCTCGATACAAGGACTTTCCGAGGAGCTAATGTCGACTCTGACCACTATCTCTCAATAGCAAATCTAAGATCTCTACGTTCAGACAAGGCTTTAAGAGTAGAAAGAATAAATGGTTCAACTTGTAGAAGCTCCAAGACCTGATGGTATTAAACCAATATACAGTCGAGCTTGACAGGATATTACAATCAACTAACCATGAACAAGGATCGGTAGACAATGAGTAGCAAGCCTGCTTCAAAGCCTTAGATGAAATGGCTGATACAATTCTTGGACCAGCCCAGAAGGAATGCCATTCCCCGTGGTTTGATGATGAATGCGAAAATGCAACTCATCGAAAGTATGTGGCATATCATGCTTTGACACAGAGGACTTCTGATTCCTACTAAAGATCTACACCAAGTAAATATTAAGAAGAGAAGATCCGGTGGATAACAACTACTACCTCAAATTATCTAAGTTTCATCAAGAAGCCAACTAAATTATAAGAAAACAATTCTTCATCAGATTGACCTTACCATAACTGAACACACATACTAAGAAAAATCAAAACCGAAATTAAAGAGCAAAGGGAAACTTAAAACTACTTTTTGTGTAAGGTTGAAAACTGTGATATTAGAAATTAAATTTAATAGTGATTATAAAAAAGTATATAACACGATCAATGAAACATTGGAGCTTACTTACCTAGACCATGACATGCCTTCATTGACTAGTTCAAGATAATAGACAAGTCTAACGAATTCTGAATCTGCACAATCTATCTCTGGCAGTGGTTCATCATACATGTGGTGTCTAAGTAAAGCTGCAACTCGTAAAAAGGGTAAACAGAGTTTTTGAACCTGAAAAATACAAAAGAAACATTAGAGGAGTTGGTCGGGGGAGAGAGGGGGCGTGGGGTCAACATAAAATACTATATATTAAAATAGTAATGGAGTGGTGTAATTCAATGGTAGTGTACTGAGCTTTTTATTTATAATAATAGTATTTTATTGGATTTGCCGATGTTTTGACCTACAATGTAGGTCTTCATCAGGGCTAAAAAAGATAAACTATGAATATTAATTGATACAAGATAAAAAAAAAATAAAAATGAATTATCAGTAGATATTAAAATAGTATAGGCTACCAGATAAAGAAATTAAAAGATAACATAGGTGTTTTAGTGAGTTATAGTATTGTTAGAAGAATAATATATATATATATATATATATATGTTGTTCTAGCACTGAAGAGGATGGTTAAACCAGGATCGAAATGAGAAATAGAACGCCAGAAATAATTTGTAGTTCATCGTTATAATTTATTGACCTAATTCCCAATTTAAATAATTATGTTAAAATATATATAATGGACTATACAAAAAATAGAAGTGAATTTAGTAGGTAGAAAAATTAAATAAAGATTTGACAGATGATAAGACATCAATTAGATTATCTGAAGAAATCATAAAATGTAAATATAAACATTTGTTTGTAACCTGTTTCTCTAATAGTTGTTTGTCTAATTCTTGAGAACCAGCCCCATCAACCATTGGTGAAAGGTCTTCAATAAATAATTGAGTCGGATCTAGGGCATGGATAGTCCGAGACATTGCCTCTTCCAAGGTACTAAGTCTCAGTTCACTAGGATCTGTAGGTGGTGTTCCACGCCAATGACTTCTTTCAGTAGAAGTCATACGACAAGAAGCCTGAACTACTACTTGGAAGTAGAGCAAATTATAGAGAAGTTTAATGACACATGTGAAGTACGCTGAAAAAAAATAAAAAAATATTATTATTATTTTAACTAAAGAAAAACTAAAATATTATTAGGTTTAAACATCCCTTAATATTTTTCTTGGAGAAATTGGAGAACTGAAACCTTATTTTCATATTTTTATTGAAAGTTATATGAAACTTGAAGTTCTTACAAGGAAGGAATTGTCAAATTTCTTTAAAACCCTCTAATTAATCATGTAGAAGAAGAATTATAACGGTTTAACTATCAGAAACTTTTTATTTAAGGAAAATCATTTTTAAGAAAAACAAAGAAATAATAACTATAGCTATTTAACTAAATAAAACTATTTTTGTTTCTTTGATTGGTACTATTTAAATAACAAACAAGAATTCTTAAAGCTTATAAAGTTGCCTTAATGTCATAGAAACCAAACTACGGAACTGATATGAAATAGATTATAGGCTCACAGAAAAATAAACTAATTTTAATACTAATTAAAAAAAAATATTAAATTTTATGTTTTATGAGATAAAGTATGTATGATAAACAAAGATAGCAACAAAGAGAACCACTGATAGAAAAATATTAATTACTCCAATTGTTTCAGTGACAATGCTTTAAGAAAGATTGTGACTGTGATGTGAGAAGAAGGATAATATACTCACTTTGATCAAGGTGAAGCGGGAGCAGAAGAATGAAGTGTGTGAGGAGCGCCGTGGGATCCTTGAGGAGGATTGGTACTTGAGCTACGTGAAGGGGAACCAGTACGGGTGTTTGCTGAGGAGATTCCGGTTCTAGGTACGAAAGTTGCTGCCACGTCTCCCAAGTTGGCCATTGAGCCAGCAACCTTGCGTGTACAGCCAACACGTGCAATAGAGGCACTGCAAAAAGTTTTGAATTGAATAACTATGTACTTGCTCCACTACTCATTAACTCTAAATATTTTGTTTTTATTAAATGCGACTGAGAAATAGTTCAAAATGCGATTAAGAATTTATTTTTATTCTGGTGAAGAGCCAATAAAAAGTCATCGAATATTTAATAGTTCATTCTCATAATAAAACAAAATTAATTTAAGATACAATTGAAATAATTCATTTTGTCTTATTTGTTAATAATCATTTAAAATTCATCAAAAAAGGTTAATAGATAAGTAAAACAATGGGTCAAAAACAATATACTGTTCTTTTCAATCAGACAAACAAAAAAATATTGTTATTCACACATTTAATATAATCTAGCACTAATAATAATTATTAGATGAGATGTTTAAAGAAAAAGGACCATTAAAGAAGTTTCTTATTTAAATACTTACTTATACAAGATCTTTTTGGAACAAGTGGATTTGGTTCAGGCCCAGAGTGGGTGACTAGATTACCACCTCTCTGAACTAGTTCAACTTCAAGATTGGTTCTAGCAATAGAGCTCACGAATAGGAATAATGTTTGCGGAAGTCGAGTGGCTACTTTTTGTTTGTATTTCAAGTATGTCGCATTTGTCATATCCTCCATAGACTTTGCCATAGCTTCCATCAAATTCGAAACCTGCTGGCAACAAAAAACAAATCAATATATAATCTAGAAAAAATATAAAACAGCATAAGTATATATTAAAGAAAAACTTGAAACTTTTTAACCAAAATTTAAAAAAATAAAATAAAAATTCAAAAAAGTGCAATGTTTTTACCTAAAGCTTTTGATTGAATTATCTAATGAAATAAGACATATTTAAACAAGATTGTTAATACCATTACTTACAAAAGAAATTAAGGCAGGATATAGGTTATGCAATTCGTTCAAATTTCAAAGTTTTAGACCTAAGTTATTATTATATATTTTTTTTCCAAGATATAATAAATTGTCGGTTTATTGAAAAAATCTGGTGCAGTGCACGCATCACAAAACTTTCACTCACCAACCTCTTCTTAGCAGAAATAAGTATTTTCAGTCAAAGGGAAGTGAAAGTAAAAATTATAGACGGTACGAAACAATTTAATTTAAAACAATAGCAGTCTAATGTATTATATTTATTTTGTACGAAACTAGCCATTGCCTTTTACGACTATATAGTTTAATGATTTATTTGATAATAAATAATTAAATTTCTCGAAATATTTTTAGTCTGACAAGAGTGGTAATGATAAAGAAGGCCGATTGGTAAATTTATTTATATTCCATTAAGGATATTTTTATTTGTTCAAGTACCGGTTATACAAATTTTAATTTTTATATTGCTGCAATCTATACAATTAAATATTAAATAATACCAACGATAGCATTTATGTAAACCACATATGTGTGTATGTATATATATATATATATTAGTTACAACAAGTGAACAATTTTCTGATTTCACTAAGAGAAAATTCATCAAAGTTCTAGGTGATTTAAGGTAATGAAATGTCACTACAATTTAATTTTATAATAGAGAAGAAATTATAAATTATTTTTGTGTAGTTCCATGACTGCAATCCCCAACCAACTTCTCTTAAACAATCAAATTTTACTCTTGAATTATCTATGCATACAAATGTTCCTTATATTAAGGATAAAAAATCTTTAGTTTAATTACTTGTATATTTAAAAGTATAATTAAAAGATAATTTATTTGATTTTTATAACAGAAATATATTAATAATAATAATAATAATAAAAAGGCTTAGCGAACCCGAAGGTTCGATGCCGACACCACCAATCGCTTATTACACATCTCCCTCCACCGTTCGCCGTCCAAACCCAGTCCCTTCAGATCAGCTTTAATGCAATCTTCCCACCTTCGCTTCGGTCTACCCCTCGGACGCTTACCATTCGGCACAGCATATATTAACCTTTTAGGAATTCTCTCGTTACTAAGTCCAACAACTTTACAAGCCCATTTGATTCGCCGCGATGAAATTATCTCAATTATATTACTCGGACACAGTTCACCCAATTCGGCGTTGTGTAACCGTCTGAACTCTCCGGTTAACTCATCCTTCTTCGGTCCGAATATTCTACGCAATACTTTATTTTCAAAAACCTTAAGACGCTGCTCATCCCTTAATGTAAGCGGCCAAGTTTCGCACCCATAAAGAACTGTAGGCAAGATAATTGTTTTATAGATTCTAATTTTTAAGTTTCGGAACAAAAGGCGCGAACTAAGTAGTTTTGTCACAGAAAAATAACAAGCATTTCCCGCCTTCAGTCTAACCTTAATTTCTTCTTCAAATTTCAATTTTCTTCTTCAATTTTAATTTCTTCTTGAAGAAGAAATTGAACAGAAATATATTATAAACAGAAAATAAAAATAGGATATTGTTGAGTTTAATGAATTATTATATCTTTGGCATAACTCATATATTGATGACTGTACCTGGGTTGATGGTGGATTCTCTTTAAGAAATGATGATAGCTCGGGAATGATAGAAGAAAGGCTACTAGGACGGGATCTTACCATAGCAGCAGTCTCACCTAACTGAGGTGGTAAGGGTAAAACAGAATTTGCCAGTTGTCGACAAAGAGGGCATGCATATTCTCCCCTGTAAAATAAAAATTTCTAAAATAACCATTGTCATGAAAGAAAAAAAAAAAAAAAAAAACATAAAAATTTCCCTCTTTTTTTGTTTTTATATGGGAAGCAAATGAAAAGTGATTTAATTCTTATATGAAGAAATTAATAGAATTTTAAAACAATAAAAATATAGTAAAGTAAAAAAAAACAAACTTAAAAACGCTAAAATACATGAAAATATTTTGGAGATATGGGAAATAGATAAGACCCTGGAAAGGCACTTTTTCAATACCAAGTAAATTTTCATAAAAAATTTGAATCAGAACAGAAGGAACTGTAAAGGTGTACAAAACTCTTAAAAATCTGAAAAATCACTAAAAAATAATGGGAGATGGGGAAAATGTTTAGACCTCTAATACATTTTTTAACAATGAAGCAACTAACATACCAATTTACAACACTCTAACTTAATTTGGATTTATACACATAAATATGTATAATGGAACCAAATGTTCCAGATATCACCACTATACAGAGATCCATGATTATTTGTAACAGGTATTTCTTGTGAACTGCTTATTAGGTCATACCTGTTACTGTAAAATGTTAATTTTAAAGTTTAATATGACATTTTCATGATTTTGAGAAAAATGCAAAGACACTTATAATAGTTAAATATTAAAAGATACAAATCTACAAAAAGTATAAAAATATCACATCGTTCGTTTCTGAAATCATTGATTCAATTAATGATTATATTGGAATATTTGATAACAATGTATAACAAAATCTATGCTAGATTTTATTTAAAGACCAGATAATACTTATGAAACAACATTAATAATTATTTTTTAAATGTAAAATAAAAAATTGAACGAGTCGATGAAAATACCTTTCAGCAGCCACTTTCTGTTGAGTTCTTAGTGATCGCAAATAGGATTTCAAGCAGTCAAGATGAAGATGGTGACCACAAGTCTGCACGTGAACGCCGCCTTCCCATCCAAGATTAACAGACAGCAACCATGACAGCTGCAACAGTTTTAATATTGTACATGCTGTTAATAAATTGATAGCTGTTTTCGAAAAAGCAATATGTAACAAGATAATTATTAATATAAAAGCTATTACAAATATAACTTTCACTTAATGCCATTTCTGTTCCCATTGTTTTAAAGATTAAAAACATTAATATGTTTTATTAACACTTTATAGAGGCTGCTCACACAATATGTGTTTGATCAGCCACTAAAGTGTTAATATATATACAGGGTGTACTCTAAGTAGAGGGAAATTTTTAAAAGGTCGATAGTAGACATCAACATCTAAAAAAAAAAATTCTAATAAGCAATAGCCCAATTTTCAACAGCAAAGTAGGAAAATAAAAATAAGATTTGTGTTTTTTTCATTTCAAAAATGTGTGAGTCACATTTTTTTGTTGAAGAGGAAGCAATAACTTAACATATATTTGATTTAAATAATTAAATATTGCTCCATAGTAAACAAAACAAAACTTACTGCAAACAAAAAGTAGAGTTTGTCAATGTTAAAACAAAGTTTTAAAAAAAGTCATAAATTATTTGTGATTTTTTTTTTTATCACCGTTCAACTGAACTATATTTACTCCACTATTATAAAAACTTTCTTGTGTAATAAGCCTTAATTCCATATTAAGAAAGTGGAGGTTTATTTGGAAAATTATTGAAATTCAGCTCAAGTTTTGTAAAGAAATGATATGATTTTCTATCCAGTCACCTACCTAAAAGAACCTCTGTTTTCATCAGAAATGACTGTAATTAACTGTAGCTAAGCTTTTATTTCTTGTTTTTCTGTGTTACGGGATGTGGTGTTATAAACATAGTTATCTAAAAATACGTCTATTTATAAAAATAAAAAATTTAAAAAAAAAATCATGTAAGGTGGTTATGAAATCGTGTCTTTCTCTCAGATTTCTGTCACAGGAATTGATGCGTATTTATATGTGCCAAACTTAATGTTTCTAGCCCTAATATTTACATTTTCATGAAAATAATTGAAACAATCAATAGGTTTCTTCATTTTAAACATGTATTTTAGGACTAGAAACATTACGTTTGTTACTTATAAATACGCATCAATATCTATGACAGAAATTTAGGAGAAAAACACAATTTCAAAACTACCTTACTTAATAAACCTCAACTTAATTAATATAGACTTAAAACTTATTTAACGAGGAAGTTTTTTTAAAAGTGGGATAAATGTAGTACAGTTGAAAGGTGATAAAAAAAATAATTAAAAAATCACAAATAATTTATGACTTTTTTTAAAACGGAACTTAGCTGTGTTTGTTTACTCAATAGTCCTCTTTAAATAGTTTTAACAATGACTAACTCTACTTTCGTTTAAAGTAAATTTTGTCTAGTTTACTATGAAGTAATGCTGTGTTACTTAAATCAAATATTTTTTGATTTATCGTTTTCTATTCAATAAAAACCGTGACTCACTTAAAAAAACATCTTAAATTTTCCTCTTCGCTGCTGGAAATTGGACAATTGCTTATATGAATTTTTTTGTACTATTAACCTTTTAAATATTTTTCTCTACTTGCGGGACTCCATGTATATATGATGACTGGTAAGAATCTGAGAGGTAGACTCAAGAGATGTTGGGGAGATTGCCTTAATTAGAAGCCTTAACAAATCCGATGCCGGTGGAGGTAGGTGTGTAGACAGCAATTGGTGGTATCTGCATCAAACATTCAGGTTTGCTGAGATTTTTAATAGGTAGTATTAATATCAATATATATTTGATACCAATCAATACTATAATATGAATGAAACAAAATTGTTAGGAACTTTAGTTACGTTAATATTTATTAGATAAGCCAAAGTTTCGACCCAAACATGTGGGTCATCATCAAATATCATCCGGATGTCGAGACAAGAACTCAGTTCTTGTCTCGATATAAGTATGGATATTACTGTTCGATAATCAGCTACCTCTCTATGCTTTTCAAACATTACTAAATGAGATGAATTTTGGCTATCAGAGTTAAGGAAAGGATGAGAAAAAAAAATTAAGACAGCTGTAGCTTAATGTCGTATGTATGGTATGGAATTAAAATATGTGGTACGCGCATCACACAACTTTCACTTATCACCCTCTTCTTAGCAGAAATAAGTATTTTCAGACAAAGGGGAAGTAAAAGTAAAAATTATAGAAGCTATATTTATTTAACATTTCATTGTAGGTATTTTTATTTGCTTAAATACTCTTAAATAGACAAATTTTAATTTTTATATTGCTGTATTCAATACAATCAAATATTAAATGATACCAATGATAGCATTTATGAAAACCGCGTATGTATATGTACATGAGTCCGTATTACATTATGCTCATATTACAAATGGGAGCCTGTTGTACTCTTTTGGACGAGCTCGGCCGGGCTCGTATTCCTTTGGTTCTTCCATTACAACTATTATCAGTTATGATCTCATAAATCTCCTTCAGTTAATTATCAAATTATTACATATTTTATTTATATTTCACTATTTTTTGTATCAAAGATTAATGTGAAAAGGTTGATTATTTCAAATTAAAAAATAAAGATACTTTAGAGGAAGCTAATATTGAAAATTAGCCATTTAAGCCCTGTTAGAGAACATCTATGAGAATAAAACCTACAATGTATTAAAAACTGCTTAATAATATACTGGTATACTGAATTTAATCAAAATCATTAGAGTGGTTTTTGAGAAAATCGTAAAAATGTGTTAAATCAATTACATAAAGTACAACTTCCGGTTTGCCGATTTTGTCAAAAATGTTGCTGTAACATCGAAGGATTATAAAAATCTCAAATATGCAATTTCAGTTTCAAATGGCTTTTTGTTTTTGAGCTAAGCTGTTCACATACATTCACACACACACACACACACACACACAGAGACCATTTTGCGGAACTTGGTTATTTAGACTCAGGGGGCCTCAAAAAGTGTATTTCCGTTGAAAACTCAGATTCAGAAATTTTCACGATGTCAAAACTTACCCTTACTATTTATTACATATATAGGTAAGTGAAAGTAAAAAATTCTTTTCCACAAAATCATTTACAGGTTTGAAAGTATATAAAAAATATATGCAGATAAAAATAAAGGCAGTAATAGTACCTGATCAAACTCCCTGCTCAAGCTGTCAACATGAGAATCAAAGGCAGACGCCATGGTGTCCTGACGATGCGCTCTCTCTCCATCAGACAATGGAAGGATTGGAGGGGTCGTGCCTTCCCTTCGACGGTGCCCGAGGACACTGGTAGCTTGCACTAAAACTGCTAAGCCCATCGGTTTGTCATCAGTTGACTCAGAGCTCTGGCTACATATTACACAATCGTACTCTTTTCTCCTTGACGTTCGAGAACTACTAGCGGTGGATCCTCCATTCCCTTCAGTCCACTCCATACCCTCTTCATCTAAAGGTAAATAAAAGTAAATATTGTAATGTACACCTTTATTGGAAGTGGGTAAAAAGGGTTTAATAAATTAATGTTCAACAGTTAAAAGGCAAGCTAATCTAGTTCTACTAGTGCAGGGAAAAGAAAATGGCTGCTCTGTAGTTTCCCAAGAAGGAAAATCCCAAAGTTTTTGTTTTGGCAAGCAGTTGTTGTGTGACTGTAGTGAAGAGAGGAGAGAGAAAGAATCCTGGCTCCAGTGGGTGAAGCCCAGTAATAGTATTACCATTTTTTGGAAGTTGTGTTTGGCAGAACAATGGAAAGCATTTGAAGAGAAATGAATTTAGTGCAACAAAGAAGAAATAGTATCTATAGAAAAAAGGTTAGCTTGCCAATCCATATTTGACTTTATTTTAAAATCAAATAGTGTTTAGTATAGTTAATGTTAGTTTGTCTGAGTGTTTTGATCTGATTGTCAGTAACCCACACCTGAGATAAATAAATATATTAATACTCTTATAATTTTGTTTTTTATTTGACAATCTCTTATTAATTTTGGAAGTATTCCAACGGTAAAAAGTGATCTTCTGAGGTTATATTATTATTTGTCAAATATAAGGGAAATGTTACAATATATATGTAATCCACATTAAAAATCTATTTAAAAAAATATCTTCACCATTAAAATAAAAGTCTATTAGTAGAGGCCCTCCCTTCCCTTTAGATTGTTTTGCTTAGAACCAACTCCTTCTCATATTATAATCATGGTCAACTATCTCTACACCATTATAGCATAATTAGTCTTCATACTCATTGCAATGATAATGGTCAGAATATTAATATATTTCGCTGCCTCACGCAGACTTGTGATAGGAGGTACTTTCTTTCTGCACAAGGGCATGTGGACTTCCCTGAATGGTGAATCAGTTAACCAAATCGACCATATACTCATAAGTGTGAAGAACAAGTCGGATCTTATCAACGTTCGCTCATTTAGAGGAACCAATATGGACTCAGATCACTTTCTAGTAATTGTGTGCATTTGAGCCCTTATATCAAACGTTAAGAACAGACTGGCCCAATAGACAAAAAAGGATAACGTTGATGGTCTAAGATCAGAATCGACTCAGAAATTTTGCTAAAGCCATTGAAGACAAACTTCGATAAGTGCAGATAGAAGAAACTAGTGCTATCAACTTTAGTTGGGATGAATATTGCAAGGTAATCAAGCAGGTGGCTGAGGATATTCTCGGAGAGTGGGTGAGAGAATCCAAAACCCAGTGGCATGATTAGGAGTGTAAGGTAGCTACTGAAAGAAAGAATGTGGTATATAAAAAAATGCTTCCTGAATGGCAATCATTAAGTAGAAGGATTGGAAGAAGGCATTAGAACCTTTATTATAACTTGGGCAAATGATGATGAGCTTGAACCCACCGATGACGATAAGATCACTGATGCTATTGAAAGGCTAAAAAACAATAAAGCAGCAGGCCAAGATGACATAACAGCAGTGTTCTGTGTACAACGTGTTTAGACAAAAAAAGAATAGTTGGAAGACCTATATTGCGCTGTATGGATGGGGTCGACGCGGATGGTAGAGCCCTTCATGGATTAGCTGACTGGAGGACAGCTGCAAGAGAGACAGAGCAATGAGTGAGACTAAATGAGGAGGTCAAGACTCAGCGATGAGTTGTAGTGCCCAAGAAGAAGAAGAAGAATTATAAATTAAATTTATTTAATAATTACATAATTTTTAGTTAAATAATTAAATAAAACTTATATAATAAATTAAATAAAAATTTACTTTAAAATGTTGCTGGTGAAATATTCGCTAAACCTGCTACACTAACCATTGCTTTGGTTGTATGAATTAGTTGTCACCCATATTACTGTAAACTCGTAATGTTTCACGATATCTATTGTTGAAATACTACAGATAAAATTTATTTTATAAAAACTTCACTGAAGTTCTTTGGTTATAACAATAGGAATACTATTTAATACTGTAGCTCTAACAACTGAAAATTCAGAAGCACTGCCTTATACCTTTTTTAATTATTCAAGATCGAATAATGTTTTTAATAGATACTTACAAATGTTTATATAGAATTTTGTTTTTTGTCCATCCCTCCCTCGCATATGTATGGTATGGAGTTAAAAAATCTGGTGCGCGCATCACACCACTTTCACTTACCACCTTATTTCAATTACTCTATACAAATTTTAATTTTTATATTGCTGTAATCTATACAATTAAAAATTAAATAATACCAACGATAGCAATAACGAAAACAGCATATGTATATAATATTGTCGGAGTTCGTATTATATTAAGCTCATGTTACATATGGAAGCCTGTTCTAATTTTTCGGGTAAGCTCGGGGGCGCTCGTATTCCTTTGGTTCCTAAATTACAACTATTCTCTGTTATAATCTCCAATATCTCCTAACTATTATCCTATTATTATTATTATCCGTTACGATCTCTTATTTATCCTTTACTTAATTATCAAATTCTTTCATATTATATATTCAAAAAATTTTTATATCAAAGATTAATCATTTCAAATAAAAAAAATTAAAGTTTTTTTATTAAAGTGTTGATTAAAAATTAGCCATTTAAGTCCTGTTAGAGAACATCAATGAGAATAAAACTAATATTATATTAAAATACTGCTTAATAATTCACTTAGAAAACTGATAAAAACAAACCAATCTTTGGAAAGGTAATCCAATTAAACTGGACCAAATAGTATATTAAATATTCAAATTTGTTTTCTTTCTTTATTAATTAATTTATGTTAAAAAAAATGGATATATTCACTTGAAAAAAGTAACAATTACAAGAAATTATTAACGAATTCCTTTTTACCTGTTTCCATAGCTTTTTCCATAAATTGTTTCTGCCTGAAAGCAAACTCTTCCATTAATTTCTGTTGTCTCTCTTTAGCTCTTCTCCGCCGCTCTGTTCTTTCCCTTTCCTCGCGCTCTCTCCTTTCTTCCTCTCCTTCTTCTGGATGACGAGGCCAAAGTTTGTCTCTTGTAGACAATACATTTTCCCTAAATTGACGAGATGATTTCATTATTTTTTTTTTTTTAATGGGAATACAAATTTTAAAACATCGAAGAGAAGTTAGTTGGGATGTTCAGTCAAAAACATAAAGATGTAAAAATAAATAAATGATATTTATTTAAAAAAAAAAAAACTTCTCTTCAATTTTCACAAGTCAACCATTAAACCACTATTATAAATTTTAAAACTATGTTTAATTGTCATAAATAATAGGGTTTATTTAAATTAGAACGTGGTTCACAATACTTTACATACATTTTAAATAATGCTTGTCTTTCTTCTACATAAGCTCAGTTAGAAAGAAAGAATAAATTACTTTTTCAAAAAACTTGTAGGAGTGTCAGAAATAACTTTCTTTTAACTAGAGAGTAAAGTTGAAATGGCCGAGTGACAATCACAAACCAACTTCAATGATATAAAAAAAAATGTATTAATTGCTGTTTTAATTAAATTATTTGTCTAAATCAAACATTCCATAATTTAAAAATAGAAGAAATATTAAATAACTAATTAAACATCTTCTTCAATGATCATTTTTTAAATTTCATTTGTTACTTTTATATATATATAAAGCTTTTTAGGATCTTATCCCATTTATCAGATTCATAATTTCTCTCTTATTTTCCAAATTACCTATATACATTAGTCTCTCTTCACTAACATAATAAATTAGTTAAAATACAACATAATATGTGATACTGTATAGTTTACTCTTTTCTTTAAAAAACTAGAAGTGGAAACATAAGTAACAAACCTGCAAAGTGGATCAAGAGCCATAATCCGATGTAAGACATTGGATACAAAGTACGGCCCGTCGCCAATACGTTTGGAAGGGTCCGGAGCCGGAGAGTCAGGGTTGAATGAGTCAGGAAGGCCGGACAGGTGTGAGTGCAGCTTCAGCAACAGTGAGATGATGCTTTCATTTGCGTCAAATAATGTGTCAGACGAAGGCAATTCCACTTGGTAAGAAGTCTATCAAGAAGAATATATTAATGTGTAACATAATAATATCAGGTAAATAATTAATTATGAACAGTTTTTAACTATAAAAAAACAGCAACTGAAAATAATGGTATAAAAAATTTATTTTTTTATCAAGAATGAACAAAAATTAAATTGAATTCATGTTCACCGTGATGTATTGTGTAATTATATTACCAAAACTGATTTTTCATAGAAAAAAATTACTAATCACAAATAATCTGGTGTGGTGAACGCATTACAAAACTTTTACATACCACCCACCCTCTTTTTAACAGAAATAAGTATTTTCAGACAAAGGGGAAGTGAAAGTAAAAAATAAATAAATAAATGTTATATTGATTGATATTTCATTGTGGGTATTTTTATTTGTATAAGTATCCTTATATATAAAAATTTTAATATTTATATAGCTGTAATCTATAAAATTAAATATTAAATAATATCAACAATACCTTTATGTATATTTACATGATATTGTAGTAATCTGTATTATATTACGCTCATGTTACGTATGGAAGCGTGCTAACCTTTCGGGTGAGCTTAGGAGCGCTCGTATTCCTTTGGTTCCTCAATTACAACTATTCTTTGTTACAATCTCTAATATCTCCTTTAGTTAATTATCAAATGCTTTCATATTTAACTATCTTTTATATTACAGATTAATGTGAAATGGTCAATTGATTCAAATAAAAAAAAAGGTAATTTGGGAGAAGATAATATTGAAAATTAGCTATTTAAGTCCTGTTAGAGAACATCAATCAAAATAAAAACTACATATTATTTAAAACTGCTTAATTTTACACTGATATAATGAATTTAATCAAAATCGTTAAGAGCCTTTATCGAGAAACAAAAATCACTTGGACAATGATTATAGGGAGATGTATCTAACATTTAATTTTTTCCTCCCCTTCCTTGTCTTGTAGACTATACCGGGTTTTCTTAGGCCAGAGGAAGAGGAAAGGAGATTAAAAGCCCCTCTTCTCCTTCCCAACACCAGGATGAGAACTTGTGATTATTTTATACCTTTAAACTTCGGTTTATTATCTGGTTGGCAGCCACTCTGCCTTCTTAACATATCTAACTATGGTATCCAAGAAGCTATTACTAGGGCCCTTGGGAATTAATAGAATAATCAGTGTAATTCATTTTTAGTCTAAAATGTTTTGAGATCGCTATTTTAAAGCTGAATATTATCCCTCAATCCAGAGATAGGCCAAATCGGAATTAATGATTACATGATTAAAACTTTAATTTTATACTCTTAAAACAATAGCACTATAAATAAAGCAAAAATGTGACACTATTACCTGATTACAATCGTAATAAGAAACCTGATTACGATTGTAATCGTGTAATTATGTAATAAAAATCATTGTAATTGTAATCATTAATTATGATTATGCCCATCTATGCTTCAATCCATCCACCATCATATTAATATAACCTCAAAAATATTTATTGAAATTTATTATATTACATAACCTTATTTTTTTGAATCACTAAATTTAACTAAGAACTTCCTCTTTATGTGGTAGTTTAAAACTAAAAGTCATGATCATGATAAAATGTACCGATGGGTGTCTTCTCTTGTGAAATTTACGGAAACCAATGGTAGAAGAACTAAGAGTAGCTGCAGGTCCAGCCGAACTTCCGGGTATCGCTAGTTGACCATCAAAGATTTCAGATGATGCTAATTCAGTGAATTCACCAGCCTGCTCTTCACTGCTTGAAGTTGAGGCATGGAAAGCTCCTGCGAGGGTCATTTCACTACCAGCCATCACTGCTAGTGGTTGCAAAGGTGGGAGAAGCGCAGCAGGCATATCTGCCTCACCACTCTCTGTAACAATCACATTATTTATTAATGGTTAAAGGAATTTATTCACATTTACCATAGTAAATGTTAATTAAAGTTAGAATATTTAATAATCAAATATGCATCTTCTTATAATCTATTCATTTTATAAGGATGCTCATTGAAATTAAGTTTATATTCCAATGAAACTGAAACTTTAAAAAAGCTAACAATAATTAACTTAAACAAATATTTCCATAATTTTTTTTGGAATTTTTAAATGTATAGTTTATTTTTGTATGTATGTTTGTATAGTAATCTATATATTTTTTGTATTTATATATATTTTTTGTATTTGTAATTTTTATTTATGGTGATATATAGTTTTTTTTTTTAATTTCACCACCATTTTTGAAATAGAATCATGCTACTGGTGGCTGTTATGGAGCTTATGTTAACTCACTGACTAAATATTCTCACAGAGTTAAGTGGTTTTTGGTCTTAGGTCTTAGTCTAGATTTTTTTTTTTTTTTTTGTGGGTGTAGGATGAGGGGAGTTTGAAATTGAAGACATGAGTGAAGTCTTCAGTTGGAGAATACACTCCCATTAAACAACTTTTAAAAATTTTACTTATACTTACCCGTAATACCCATCTATGCTATTACAGGTTCCTAAGCCAATGCAGAAATAAACAATAAATAATAAAAATACATGATCATATTTAGAAAGTGATGATTCAAATATATTTTCAGTACAATGAAGAATAGGTCATGATATATACAAAACCTAATCTAAAATTTTAAATAATAAAATCTATTTTAAAAAATCTTTGAAAATAAAAAAAAATAATGCATCTTTTTTTATAATTTAATCCTAGAGTGGTCGCACACTTTTGACAAACCTAACCGGTCACAGGGGTCTGTTGGGCCCCAATTTTCTTCTTTTTTTTTTCACTGTCTGAAAATATTTATTTTATTTGTATCATAGGTTAATGCTTATTTGAGCTATTAATGACTTTTAAAAAACAGCTATGGATTCTTAACATATACTTTAGGATAGAAAAATTATTTTGAACAAGAAGTAAATAAAGATATTTCTAACAGAAAAACTGGCTATATTGTGGAAGCAGGTTATATTGAATATTTAAAAAATCATAGTTTTATATAGACATTGCAGGAAAAATTGCCATGATTTCCATAGGTAAACTTTGTGCACTTAAAACAGTGAGTTCTCGTCTTCTTGCCCAATTTTCTTGGAAAAATTTCTTCTCTTTGCGGTTTTTTCACTTGTTCTTCAGTTTCTGAAGGATTTTCACGTTGTTCCTCATATAACCCAGGGTATATGGTAATTCTAGAAGGAAGTTGTCTGGGAAGAAGAGAAGAAGGAACATGTTTGCAATTTGTTGACTTTCCAAGTTACTTGGAAGCCACAAATTATTAATAACAATATTTTTAGTCATTCTTTAAATGAGAAACAAAAGCTTAAATCTGTTCTTGAAAGAAAAATACAATTTTAGGTAAACAAAAAAGAAATTACTCAGAAATTTATAGTCAAATCAGGTCCTGCGGGGTCCAATGTGCCCAAAGAACTCAATATCTCAAAACCTGCACAAATCAATGTCAGATGGAATACTGATATGTAAAGCTTTGCCGAGGACATGAAGGTAACTGGTGTGGAAGAAGTACATGTTCAATCAGGAATATTTGACAGAGCAAAACATATCTTCTGGGGTCCAATGGACCCCGTGTGACCACTCTAGGGTTAAATAAATCTTTTGATTGCTACAACAATAGTCATTATAATTACCATTTGATTTAAAAGCAGTTTAATAATATACAATTCTATATAAATAAAGTTATGTCAGGACCTAAATTTATTAAAAAATAATATCATTACAACACAGACACTGAAACATCCACAAGCAACATTGGAATGTTAATGATCAATGAGGATGGGGATGGACTAAGGAAGGAGGAATTTGAAAGAACACAAAATAAAGAATCACATGGAATATACCTGAATGAGTTAAAAAAATAAAAGTAGTAATAATAAGATTTTACAGGCAATACATCAAATGTTTAAATATTTTTCCAACAATATAGATGATGAGACCTATTGTCAGGACCAATCGAAAAATAAAGAGTTGCATATATATCCCAATTCTGTAATAAATTATTAACAGGCAGAGAGGATTTATTACCAATATTTGTAGCAGAGACTGACGGTCTATACTTACATTCTTTTATCACATAGAAAACTTTAATGCAAAAAATATTTGTTGAAATTCAATTAAAAGATTCCATTCCTAAAGGAGACAAAAATGACAGTTTGTGATAAAGTTAAAATCTCAAAAAGAGAAATCAGTGATTTATATAAAACCATTGTTTATTTTCAAAGATTCTTTAAGAATATTACAATGAGATTGATAGTACCAAACAAGAAACTTAGTTGTATTTTTGCCATTAATAAAAAAAATATATTAAATTTTGAAACTAGAATTATCTTATTTACTTTTGAAAACTTTAATGGTATTGGTAAGACAAATCCTCAGCTATTTGCTTATAATGTACATTACATATGATATAATATGACATGACGGATATGAATGTGATGTATATATTATTCAATTATATAACTGATATAAATATATCTGTGGTTTAGTGCAAGAACAATCAACATAAATTAAATACAACCGTAATAATGTAAATTGGTTACAAACAAATGCAAATGGTATATGTGTTGGAACAAATATAAAACCAGCAATGGAATCCAAAGCCATTTTCCATTCATGAAATTTATATCATTTAAGATATTATTTAAATAAAATTTACTTAACTAATTTTAAATCACCGCTTAAAAAAAAATATAAGAAATTTAGAAATTGGCTATTCTTGCAATCAGCAACAAATATAAGAAACAAATTTAATTTATCCATTGTTAAATATATTTTATTTGGTTAATTATAAGGCTGATATTATGCTGAATAACAATTCTGATTCAAGAAACAAGAAACAAGAAAGTATCTCCAGTTTCCAAAAATAAGTCCTAACTGAAAATTACTGTGAATATCTTCAAACTTAATAGGTAACTACTACTCAGAAAAAGATTGATGAAAAATAAAGATTTAAATTTTCTTGATACTTCAAATGAAATCAAAAAGATTTCCACTTTGAATCTACTAATTGATTTGTTTTTTAAAATAAATATAGTTCTCTCTCTCCCCTCCTCCCAAAAATAGCAATTATATTATAATTATGGAAATAAGTAAGAAAATATAATCATTTCACGACAAAAGTTTTAAAAATACAAAAGGGTCGGAGATGTGATGGTGTTGAGATGAAGCCAGAACCTTACCAAACAATGCAGTGGCAGACACTTCCTCAAGCTGCAACGGGCCGACAAGAGCTGGGCTCAGTCCAAGGCTGTCATCGACTTCGACTGCTGTTGAAGACGAATCAAGCGCCAGAGCACCATCATTACTTCCTCCATCACAACGCCATTCCTCATCGCCTAAATACCCCAGATACAGTGTTAATCAACCGATACCCTCTTTCAATCTACTATCAAATATATCACTACAAAAGAATAAGAACTGCGCAAAAGTAACATAACAGTTAAAATATAATTGGAATAAAAAGAATTAAGCCAGAAAAAAAAGGAGGGGGTAAACTCGGTTGACTTCACTGCGTCTAAAGTTTTATTTATAATATTTGCCATAATGTTTCTTTAATAATAAAATAGATATTAGGGGCAGATGAATCATGTAGACATTAACTCATCAACTGTAGGCTTCACATTACTTACATAATATATCTTATGATAATTGAAGAGTCAATACCGTTTTATAACTATAAAGGGAGAATACTGTATCTGCTGAATACAAACTGAGATTTTTTCTGAAATTTTATTAAAAGAAATTAGGTTTTGACTAATATTGAGGGATTAATTATATACAAATTTGATTTAGACAAATTTAAATTTGGCCAAACTTGAGTTTTTTTAAAGTAATCTTCATAGTTTGTTTTCCTTTTTTTGATAGGAGATTTAATACAGCTTAGATTAATAGGAGATGATTCATTCACATAGCTTATCATCATACATTCATGGCGAAGGTTATGTTTAAACTGAGAGTTGCTAACGAAAATGAATGTTACATAAAAAACAAAACAGAAGAATAAATGATATAAATGGTACTTAAAATTAAGATTTGTGTTTAATAAGAAACCAAAAGCTAGAAATGAAGAGAGCAATAAGTAACTAAAACTGTTTGATCAATATTAATTGGCATTCCTAAAACAATCAAAATAATTTCTAGAGATTTTTTGGATTTCTATTTAAACTATTTCCCTATTTGAAAATTAAAAACTCTTTAAATAGACATATTAATAGAACTTTTTATTTAACTAATCAACTGTTTTCTTTAAAGTATGAAAACTCAATTCTATAATTTCAGTTTAGGTATCAATGTTCCAGCTTCAAAACTTTCATTATATTTTAAATATAATATGATCCTCCTAATCTATTTAGTGTCTAATTCAAGTACTACTGTTTCGCTTTCAGATAGAAATAGTAAGTTTTGAAACTGATTTCTTATTACTAATTTAATTTTTTCTCTCACATATTGTTTGGTTAAAAATAATTATGAAAGTGGGGATCAATTTATATTCTAACTCAACCTAAATTAGAGCAATCAAGAATTTTGTTCTTTTGAAAAAAAAATCTGATGAATTAATTTAGAGGATACGTTGACATTTCGAATTGAAAGTATTAATACATGAAAATAAAAGAAGCGATAAATTATTTTATCAGATTAATAATGAGGAAAAAATGATTAATTTAATGTATTCATGAGAAATTCATAATTTGAGCAGAGACTAACCAGAAAAAAAAAAAATGAAAGGTCACAGAAATATTCTAAATTTTCATAAAGAAGAAAAAATAATAATTGAAATTCTATACTTACTAAAACAATATTCCCTAAATGACAGGTAATTAACTAACCAATAATTATAAGTCAATATTAACTCAAACAATAGTTTTTTTAAGCACAAGTAATCTACTACAGATTACAACCAAGGAAAAAAATGATTGATGTACAATGAAGAAAGAAAGACAAAGTTCACCGTAACACTGCTTTCATGTATTCACACCACACCATAGGGCTTTCATCAGAGAGAATCGTCAATATTCTGAAGCAAGTAGAGTTTAAGTTCTACCACAAATTAAAGTAATAAATAATCTTGGTTTAAACATGAACTTAAATCACAACAGTACTATACCTTACAGCAAGGACTTATGTCAACGTAAGTAGTCAGAGAACCTTCTCTTGAAACACTTTTTTTTTTTTGCGACCCCATCCCAATCTTAAGTATTTTACATTGTTATGTTAAAAACTATTTCAGGAACAACAAATTCAAATAGTTTTGACAATGTAGGATTTATATTAAATGAGTTATTAAACCTAAAAGAGGGAGAATGTAAAGACAACATGGAAATTGTTTCACAGACCTCCAGGAATAGCTAAGTGAAAAATCAGTGTACAGCCACCTAACAATGAAGAAGACGAGCAGATAAATCAGTCCACACCACATTCTTCACTGATTGTCATGCTCTGAGTTGTGTCTAAAACCAATCCCTTACTATATGTTTCTTCAACATAAACCAACCATTTTCTCCTTGATTGCAAATATATCGACTAATAAAACTTTTAAGTAGTAAAATCTCATAAACTGACAACTTTTAGGAAAACATAATATATGTAATGTCATAATGGAAAACAATTTGTCATAATAATTACATATCTAAGAAAAAATTGAACGTGTTCCTCATTCAATTTATGAAATTCTAGTAAGAAGAAAAAATACTCGAGTATACCTTGGGAACCACTATATTGCTTCAGGTACAAAACTGAAAAATCATATAAACAAAGGAAACTTAAAACTCTGAAGGTTGAATTAATTGCCAAGGTATAACAGAAAATTTAACTATTGATGATTTTAGTTCTTAGGAAATAGTAAAACATTAATAAGTCACGAGAAAGGGAATAAGTAAATGTTAAATTTAAAACATGGAAACAACAATTAATTCACAAATAAATATGACAACATGTAAATAAATACTAGCATCATTAACATAACAGATTTTTAACAATATACAACTGTACATACTGTCGGCATCAAATATAACAGGTTCTGGCTGTGGAGGGAGCTTAATAGAAGTGATAACTGTTCGAAGGTTGTCAGAGAGCCAGTCGGATTCATACCAGTTCTCTAAGTCCCCATCATCTACCGTCCGCTCCTCGCTCTGTTTCACAGCACATACCTATAAAAAAGAATGAAAAATTGAAATTTGAGTTTTAAAAATTGAAGATATTAGAATAAAACTTTACAATTATCATAAGAAGAAACAATGGTCCAAAATAACATTTAATATAGTATAATTAATTTTCATTCATACCAGTTTGTTTTTTTTATTCGACAATTTCCTACCCACCATTTCTCGCTTATGGGAGGAAGGGAAGGGTTGTTCTAGACATATAACTAAACCTATACTAACCAGAGTGGCTAGGTTAAGTTCCATTCCCTGGGTCCACTACGAAATAAAAATCAACTCTTCCTACGCCAGATTCGAACCGGTGTCGCTAGGCATGAGAATGCTAAAACGGGTGATCTTCTAACACGCTCGGCCATCACGACCTCATTCATACAAATGTAGTTGAAAATATTAAGAGGAAGTACAGACTTTAAATCGATACAAAATAATCAAATAATCATAAATAAGTATTAGTGACTCCCTTTGAAGCAATCTCCAGGAAATTGATTTATGAGAAGGAGGTATATATTACCTCAAATAATTTTTATATTTTGTACTGAACCAATTGTTTAAAATTAAGAGTAGTTAAAACATTATTTTTACCCTCATGTAGCTGTTATAAATGAAGTTCTTCTATTAATTTCAAATTTATTTGTCAACCAACATTGATTATTTTTATTAATTTACCACAGCATTTTTGCAAAATTAAATCTTATAGACACAAAACAATGCAGGGGAAAAAAAACCTCAATGTGAAAAATAAATGTAGAATAATGAAATACTAACTATAAAGAAGTGATTGAAAATATATAAACATTACAATGATCCATTTTCCTAGAACACCTACTGTATCTGCTAAAAATATATTTTTAAATAATCCTCCACCAAAGTCAAAATAAATGTTTGATAATTTGGTATGGTGCATGCATCAAACAACTTTCACTTATAACCATACTTTGAGTATAAATAGGTATTTTCATATTGACAAGGGAAAGTAAAAATTCTAATTGGTACAATATATTCATGTAAAACAATGAAATAATATATAGTTTTCATAAACAGAATCTGTAGAATTTACGAGTTAATCATCACTTTTCATTACCTATTGAATAATTCAGCTATTAATTTTCCAAAATCTTTAGCTTTCCAAGGATATATTACACATGTACAGCACTATCTTTATTACTCACACTTATATATCATATATAGTAAGGGGAAGTATTGCGGTTGTGAAAATTTTCGAATCTGCGTTTTCAACAGAAATACACGTTTTGAGATTACTTAACCCAAATAACCAAGTCCCACAAAATGGCCCGTGTGTGTGAACAGTTAGCAAAAAAAAAAAAAAAATGAAATTCGTAAAAAAAAAAAAATCATATTTAAGAAGTTAAGTATATGTCTAGGATGTTACAGCAACTTTTTTGCCGAAATTGACTTATCGGAAGTGCCACTTATATAATCTATTTTATATTTGAATATTATGTTTCAGCCTGGGAAAATATTTCACTTTTTTCCTTCTTTAGATTAATCATGAGATGCTTTCATAGTTTATTTTTAACCATTTTTTATTACGACAAGGAACGAGAGAGAGAGAGTATTTTAAATAAACATAATTAAATTTATTACATCAATGTTCAAATAATTTTGTTTATTTTTCAGCTGAAGTCAGTTTTAACCTACTTAATCTTCTTTTCTTGCTAAAAACCTACCTGCATGATTTCTTGTATCTTCATTTTAAGCATTAACTAAATTTATTTCACTATGCATAATGTATATAATATAGAGTATTTCATATTCATTTACTTTTACGGAACCCATTGAGCCAATCGTTCCCAATTAGAGGAGTTTGTAATCTCTTGGCCATCCTGGTTGCCTTGATTCAATATTACCAAATACTTTAGGCTGTTAATAATTAGAAATATAGAAAGGTACTTATGGTACCTTCTTCTCCTTCATGGGCGCTACAACTCATCGCTGAGTCTTGGCTTCCTCAATCAGTTTTATCCACTGGTCCCTCTTGCTGCTCTCCTCCAGTTAGCTAGTCCAAGAAGAGATCTACCATTCACGTCGACCCCATCCATCCAGCACAGTATAGGTCTTCCAACTTTTCTGTTTCTTTCTGGACGCATCACCATAATTTTGCTGGTTGGGCTATTCTCATCCATTCTGGCTACATGACCCACCAATTTCAAACGCTGTATTCTAATGAACCAGACTACATCCGTATCATTATGTATTATGGCCAGTTCTGCATTACTCCGCCTTCTCCAATTGTTACCTGAGCGTATTGGTCCATAAATACGACATAGTATTTTTCTTTTAAAGATCAATAACCTGTTTTCGTCTGTTTTGGAGAAGCTGAACATTTCCGCTCCATATGTGAGGACAGGACGAATCAGCGCCTTGTACAGTCGCTTTTGTTTTCCTGGAGATTAAGTGATTGCTTAGATACCACCGCAGACCAAAATAACATTTATTTGCTGCCAGGATCCTAGTTACATATTTCCTCTGATACATCATTGTCAGCATTTACCTAATTGGAATATGCTGCTCAGACTTTTATAAACACACAAAACATTTTATGAGAGTTAGTTATTAAAACACAAGGGAACTTAATACATGTATATTGTTGAAAACTTAGATTTGGAATTTTTTATGATCTCAGTACTTTCCCTTATTTTATTTCAAATATAGGTAAGTTAAAGTAAAAATAAAATGAAAAATATTAACTAAAACAGATAATAAATCACTAAAGTGCCTTAATTTTATAAATATAATTATATGCACGAGAATTAATTTAATGGTTACCTGATCTTGAGACTGCACAGCTGGGCCTGTCACTGCAAGACACATTTCTAACAAGTAAATAACAAGAGATACGACTTGTTCGGACACAGTGTGATGGTGAATAGTTTTGTACAGGACGAGCCAGAAGAGAGCATGAGCCAGCCTTGACTTAAGTAAATTACGGGGATCTTGATAAGCTGGATGAGGTTCAAGGGGCTCTCGATACGGAGGCCAGGCGAGGGTACCTGTTCGCAGTTTACCACTTTGGCTAACGCTAAAAACAAATGAACATCAACAGATTAACGATTTTCTTTTTATTATTCTAGAATATTATAATAAACAACAAAATAACTTATTATTTTAAAAAATAATTAATTTTTGACTAGAGTAACAGAATAATTAATTGCTTGAAAATGGCCTATAAAAACAGGTCGAAACATTAGAATCAAATAATTTTTGTAAATAAAAAGTTTTCATAAATATAATGTGAGTGAGAATATTGAGGTTGTTTATAATTTTTCCTTTTCTGTTTGCAGCATAATACAACCCAGCCTCATTAGGACTATTGTATCCTAGAAATACCTAATATACCTTAATGTTTCGATTAATATTTAAAAAAAAAAGATTATCTAATTAATAGCTTAACTAACAGAAAAATTTCATTGATTCATAAAATTTTAATTATCTACGGCCCTAATCATGAATAAAAAAATTGTTTTTCAATGATTAAAAATAAATGAAAACTAAATACTAATTTTTTTTTTTTATTATTGAATTACCTTCAACCCACCATTTCTGGCATACGGGGGAGTTGTTCTAGAGGTACAACTAAACCTATTCTAACCAGAGTGGAAAGGTCGAGTTTCATTCCGTGGATCCACCACAAAATAAAAGTCAATCCCTTCCAGGCCAAATTCAAACAGGCGTCGCTAGGCACGAGGATGCTGAAAACAGGCAATGTTCCAACAAACTCGGCCATCACAATCTCAACTAAATACTAACTATTCGTTGAAGCGATCCATAGAACTTTGGAACTCCCTCCTATGAACAGCTCTAAGGAGAACATGAATTGGGTCGTACAACTCCTCCCAGACATGGCCTTTTGGTACATACATCCCTTGCTGCATATTACCGCTGGCCTCAAGGTTTGGAGCTTTATATTCTGCTACCTGGAGTAAAAAAAATTAAGAAATAGAATCGTTATTAAAAAAAAACTGTTTTAATTCAACAATTATTATTTTAATCAAAAAGTAAATGTTTTTGTTGTAAAATGTAATAGACAAATAAATTATTCATTGAAGGAAGTTAGTCGACTGTTCTACATATTGTGGTTGATAAATATTCAGGACGCAGTCATTATAAACTTTTTATTAGTACTGAAATTTCAACCCAAACGTGTGGGTCTTCATCAGGGCGTGGTTTGAGCACTGAAGGCGTTCAAGTACAGGTAGGTATTCAAGTCCTGAATATTTATCACCCAAAATAAATTATTCTTTTAATACTATTTAACAATTGATCTATCATCTTAAACATATAAAACATTTGATAAAAATAGTTTTTTTAATTTAAATTTTGATGGGAGAAAAAGTGTAATGGTCATTATCGCACAATCTGGAGCTGAATTGTTTGTTTATACCTGATTGCAGACTCCTCTTTAGAGGATTTCTATTGTGAAGTTAATAAATTTGGTGGGATGGTTCTGATTATCATTTGTTATTTTGGTGAGAGATGAAGGGATCCAGAAATTGCCCATTTTTCAGCTGTTATAAAGATATAAATAGACTGATGGGATTACATTAATCTGTTATGGCTGATATATATTAATGCAATTTGTAGTAAATCAAATAGATTTTTTGATTATTTGATGCTATTAGTCCAAATTAGTCTCTCTCCCAAATGCTTCAACGAGTCAGCCAGTAACCAACAAGAGAAGTGAAGCTGAGTAAACTCAGTTCCTGATAGGCTTAGCCAATCAGGATTTGCTAATCAATTATTTCATTGAATTTATCATTTCATTGACTAATATTCATGAGTCAATGCCTGAAGCATTTTTTATTTTTGTAAATGTGCCAGCTTTAAGCATGACACAGGTGAGTACTGTTTTGAGATCATATGAGTTTGCTTTTATAAAAACTAAATAAAATTGCATTGGCATTCAGCTTTGCCTTTTAAGTGAAATAAATGCTCTCTATTTAAAATTTAAAATTAGTTTAGTCTCATTTTGATTACTTCAATATTGTTTACAAATGCCCTATAACATTAATTAGTTATCGTTATTTTTATCGTGTATAATTTGAGCACATATTTAACTGGAATAAGAACAATAAATAATTTAAAAACAAAAACTAATGTAATAACAACATACATAAAAATAATACAAGTCCACGAAAATAAAAAATTTTATTTCAGACATTTAAAGATAAATAAATCTATTTAATTGAACCTCCATTACATGAAAGAAACAATTCAAAAGAGTAGGAAAAAAATGTTTGGATAACAAACATTACATTAGTATTGAACTAATTAAAAAGCTTTGCTAACCTCAGCAAGGGCCGATTCAAAGTCCCTGCTTTGTGAAGTTCCTGATTTCTCTGGCATAAGTTCCAAGAGTTGAGAGTGGGTTTTGTCGGACATACAAAGAAGAGTAACCATTTCTAACTGAGCCAGTCGGCTCTGGTTGGCGCCTATGTTAAAAAAACACACATTAACTAAAAATAAAGGAAATACAAATCAGTTAACATAATCCAATAGAAAATAATAGCTCTGTGAAAATGAATTTGGACAGTAACATTCAACTTGAAATTATCTCTTAATGTTATTATAATGATGTAAATAGGAGAAAAATCAACAAACAGGATTCACACCATTTCAACAATTAGTATGCATAAGAAATTTTATAGAAAATGTTTTACAACTATCAAGAAATGGCTTTAGTTATCAAGATTTTAATAGCAATAATTATTTTAAAAGTAAATTATGAATGGTAGAATAAAGAACTGGGTAATATTATTGACCATTACTTTTTATAAATGCAAAAATTAATATGAAATACTAATAGTGATATATCTAAATATGAGTGCATACATAAATGCACATTATTCCTCCCAAGAAAGATAATCACAAGCATGGAGTAAATGTTATGTTACATGTACTCATTGTTTTATATCCAATCAACAATGCATTCAATGCGGTGAGCCATAATTTTTAGATTTTCTTTTTTAATTTTAATTTACTAATTGCTTTTATTGATTGTTCAAATCCAATCAAGATTGATAAAACTTCAATCTCATCATAAAAAATTAAATTGTGAACAAAATGACAAAAATGGTGTATACTTTGAATATTTAAAATAACGAAACTGCATTAAAATTAATCAATTTCAAATTGGAAAGAAAAATATTAATTTTTTATATTAATTATGAATCATTTCCGGGAATAATGAAATGATTAAATACGACTTCATTTACTAATAAAAGATAATAATTCATTACCGAAAACCATCAAAATAATTTATAGTATAATTAACAACTAAAGCAAAAATATTTAATTGAATTTCTGATAAATACAAGTATAACATAAATAAGTGCTTACATAAAAGGATTTAAATAAAGTTACAAAGCTTAACATAAATGAAATGTATAACTGCATGTATAAAAGAAATATGATGCATTAATATAAGATTACATTAGCTAATTTAATCTGTTTACTTATATATTTCACAAAAATTTTAGTATTAGTAAAAAATGTTTGTCAATTAATTTAAGTGATATTCTGACATTAATGTTGAGATGCATATAAAACAATTCTTAAATAAAGATTTTATATTTTAAGACATATTTAATTAAATGCTTCCATAACTGAGTAACATAGAGTAAATTGATAGTGTAACATATTAAAAATCCGTTCTTAAAATTCCATTAGTTTTTAAGAATCGAAAATTTCTTAAATATAAATTTAAAAAGAAAAATATAATTATTACACATACCTAGGTTTGTTCGCAAAGATATTAATGAAGCTAAAAACGTCAAGCAGGATTCTAGCATTGGTGTATCAGAATCAATATCAGGAGTGGGTCCACCTCCTACATTACCAGAAAAACTCAACCAGTCCATAACATGAAACCTATTAACAAATATTTACATATATATTGTGTTTTAGAAGAAAAATATATACCATGAGATGGATTAAATTCCAAGTTTGATGAGACATATTTAAAATATATGAGATAAATTCTTTACATTAAATAATATAAACAAAATAAACAATAACAGGCTACATTAAAAATAAATTAATTATCTCATTAATAATGAAATACAAATATTTATTAATTTACTATTATATAAAGCTACACATTTAATTTAAAAGTGCTAATTACAGCAACTACCAGCCCAATTCGATAAACTCTTTTTACATTAGATAGACTGACTTATAAATTATTGCTATAGTTTATAAAATTTAAAAAAAAATATACTTGCCTCTGGAGGACGGTCGGAATGAAAAATGAGGGCGGAAGAACTGTTGCACATACTTGAAGAAGGTACAAGTCAGCGTCAACCATAGAGTTACAAAAATTACATTGGACGTAAGTCATTGCTTGCCCTTTAATCTGTAAGCCATTCCTCACCCATAGCCCATTGAGGATTTCATAGAAAGCCACCTGGAAAGAGAAAAAAAAAATAGTTAAATTTTTTATTTAACTGAAGTCTTGGGTGGACAAAAACGCAAAGTACAATAAATAAATGCAAGCTTATACGTGGAGGGAAGAGGCTTTTGGGCTGAAGCCATACAAAATAGAATAACTTTCTTTTTTTTATTGGTCCATATTTGTTTCTGATCTAAATGCTTAAACAATCATAATATGTAGTATTTTTAAATTATAACACATATATATATATATATATCAAATAAATGTAAGCATGTCTCAAGAAAATAATATAAATAATTTATCCCTAAAAGTATGTCTCAAGAAAATAATATAAATAATTTATCCCTAAAAGTATCATTGTTCTTGTCTTTGCGTTTTGTTTGTTTTTTTAACAGGCCTTCGGAGGAGCACTATAAAAAAATTAATTCCTGCTGCAAAGAACTGAGTTGGTAGGTAGTGCCCAATGACAGCATAGTCTGCCTTGAAGTATATAAAGGTGATATAAATTTAGTTTTCTCAGAACTCAAAAAATGATATTAATCTACCTTGTGTATTTTTACTTGTAATACAGTTGTAAATATCACCAGTAAAAAAAAAATCTACCTTAATCCACTCCACCCTTCATTTATAATTACATTATTCATACAAAAAAAACTAAAAGAAGATACCCAGAAGGGGGTTTTATGGTGCAAGTTGTGCCATAATAAATTTTGAGAGGACATATTTTGACAAATTTTTGAGGGAGGTATATTACAACGGGGTCATGAATTTTTGGAATGAAAAGTTTCAGAATAAGGGACAAGGGGGATACAAGAAACAGGCAGTAGCAAGTGCAATTGTGTATTATCTATGATTTCTCTAATTCTACTTTCACTTCCTCTGTTTTTAAGAAAATGTGAGCAATAAAATATCTTGGGAGAGGGGGAATGGATACCCCTGCTTTTAGCAATAGAAAAAAAATTGTTGGTATAATAATTTTTTTAAGTGACAAAAACTAATAATTTCTGTAATTAATCTGGACTAAATGAACAATCATAATATGTACACTTTATGTACTATTACAAAAAGTGTAATAGTACATAAAGTGTATACATGTATAGAATATGTATAATAATGCTAAGAAATGTATGTATGTGTCAAGAAAAAAAAATGTATCTATAGTATAAAAATGTATTCCTTTTAACAAGTCTTCATGTAGCATGTAAACATTATTTTATTTTATTACTTTTTATCTTTCTCTTCCAGGTTAATTACTATCATAAAAAAAAAAAAAGAAGAAAAATAAAAACTCGCTAAAATTAAATCCTGGATCTGCTACTGTCCAGTACTAAAATATTTACAATAAAAAGATTTTTGAATTTGGGTATGCCATGATAAAGGATTTATCATTAGATTTTTTTTTCCCGGAAATGGCACCATAAATTTTTATAGTTAAATAATTGTTTGATATTGGAGTCAGTAATAAGGTTATCAGGAAAATTGATTTAGAATTTGCTATAAGGAGTTGGCAAATTTTGGTTATATTTTTATATTTAAACTTTTTTTATGGGATGATTTACCCTATTTACTTTGGAATATAATACAGCAGCAGAACGTTAATAATTCGGAATTCAATTAATGACTATCAATTAATTAATTAAGGAACATCAATTAATTAATGGATTTCAATCATTCGAACTAATCTTGCTAATGTTTTTTCTCTCTTTCGTTTGATCCTGTGTGTTAATTGTTTCCTACTACTTCGACATTCTTGCAAATTGTTCGATTTTTTCTATACATTGGTTTTACTTTTTCAGTCTGTATTTGAACGTCTAATAAGAAACACAGAAGTTCTGTAAAAATTTTCAACTATATTATTTATATCCTGTGTTATTAATCATTTCTAGAGGTAGTTTTACTTTTTCTATATACATACTAGAGATATAAATTAAAAAAAAAAAAATACATGTTTACAAAATTTATTTAGATTGCTTTATTCTTATTTCTTAGATAAAGGGCGGATCTAGGGTGGGGAGAAAGGGGAGGGGGCTTTCGGGCTGAAGCCCTCTCAAAAATGGGAAAATATAACCATGCTTTATCGAAAAAAAAAATATTTAAAAAATTATCTCTGGAAGTATTATTGTTCGTGTAATTACATTTAAAAGGGCTTTAGGAATCACTTAAACACCATTTCATATAGGTAGTTAGTTTCTTTTTTTTTTCAAAGTAATTATCGTTATTTTTATGAAAAAAAAAGCTTTCGGGCTGAAGCCCTCCAAAATTAAATCCTGGACCCGCAAGTGTCTTAGATTACGGAAACTTTATTTCTTTGATACATTTCTCATACTATGAAAAAAACTATACGCAATAACCAGATTTTTTTTTTTTACACTACCTTAAATTATGAACAAACGAAATCTTTGAATGAACTAAACAATCGATTTAAGACGCCGTCCTACATTTTATCAGCTGTAGCCAGGAGTGACTCTTAACATTCCATGACATTGAATCACATCACTTCCTGTTCCTGTTTCAGGAACTGTGAAGCGGTGAAAAAGAATGGAGTTCGGATCCAATGTTTCCAACCAACATTTCTATGTTTTCCTTCTACCAGGTTAGTTTTTCCCATATTTTCTCTTAACCAAAGTCTAGCCTAAAAATCAACTTTTAACTCTTTTCCTCTCGTCCAAAAATATTCAAAATATTTTCTTTTTAGGGTTACTATATTTATTTGGTATTTGAATCTGTCTACTCTGAGGAACAGTTTTCCTTCTATGAAGAACCTATTGTTGGGGTGGAATTTCCAGCTTGTTATCATGTATTTTGTTATATCTTCATTTCTTGTAGGCCGATTTGATCTGCTCCTCTTATCAGTCTCCCAACATCCTCTTGATTGCTGGCAAGGACAGCTATATCATCCACATAATCAAGAAATTTTATGATTCATTTGAAACGTGCATCCCTCATTTTTCACGCGATGTTGTTATCACCTTGTCCAGTACCAAGTAGAACAGCATCGACGAGAGTCAATCTCACTATTTCTCGGATACTTTCAGTTTATTCAGGATCTTTTAAAGACAGTTTCTGTTTACGGAATCATGGGCTCTTTGAAAACCTTTTAACATTTATGTACAGGATATAAAATAATGATTATTATAAATTTACATGAGTAGTAGGTATAAAATGTATATAACGTAAAATAATTCTGAAAGATGAAGGAGAGACTATACGTAAAATTTACAGCACTGGTGGAGGGAGGGGAGGACTTGTGAATTATTTTGATTATTATCATTCCAATTTACGCCTTTGAAGCTAGGGATGATAAGACAATAGCGAGTGGGATTCACAGAAGATAGCGCATGCACTATCAGCTTACGGTCAGAGTTCAGATATAATTAATTCCGTTCTAAAATTTGCACATTTTTCCCGAGTGCAGCTACATCGTAGCTGCAATGTTACTATCTTTTTTCTCTTTTTTCCCCTACCTCACCTGTTCGAATATAGGGGGTTTTCCCAGACCCGAGGAGAGGGCAGGGAATCAATGCCAGGCTTAAATATCACCGATAACGGAACTTATCCCCCGGAGTGAACCCCTCGCGAGTGAGAATATGCAAGACTTTATCATTTCCAGGAGCCGGGTACAATTCCGGATTCACTCCCATATGATCGTGAGAGTATGTTTGTCTGAAAATAAATCAGAATGGTAGATATTTTAAACGATATACCTTTATACTTCAATTTATATATTGAATCTATAAATATCGATATTCATATTTTTTTAATGACTTTTAAAACTTTTATTATAAAATTCTACTATTTTACCGGACCTCGATAACTTGAGACCGTCAACCATATTTCTGTTTCAGTGATCCCTTTCTCAAACGGAGTACTGAACTAATTAACAAAAGGAATATAACGCTTGAAAAACGTGGCACCAATAGTTTTTACAAACAGTGAGCAAGTGCATCCAAAATTGTTGTGGTACAACCACCATTCTTAAATTAATTAAAAACCTGAATTTTTATACATAATAAAATAGCTATTTCCAACAGGTAGACTGTACATATTATTCTTCAAATATAGAAAAATACCCTTCAATTCAGTCTCTATTTCAAGAATAAAAAAATAACTTCTGTGATGTCGCGTTTTGAATTGCTCTGAGATGTATTGTTACTAGACACTCTAACGATTTCAAGAAATATACATTTCGAATTAACATCGTCGGGTTTTATGGTGCGACTACTCGCTTTTGCGATGATCTGATGACCATCAACAAAGCACGCACAGTCGGGCATGGACTTCATCTCAAAATTTCAGGCTTTCAACGTGGTCAGTATGCAGACACTGAGAAGTCAGAAAAACCTGATTTATTGCTTGTAAGCATAAAACTGTATCCTGAGGCACTTCGATATACAGAAGTAAATAGCACCCTTTAAACGCAGGAGACTCGTACTAAATAAATTATCGCATTAAATTAAACGAAATTGTGGACAAGAGCTGGATTTCTAATATGAATGATGCGACATGATGTGACTTATATAGGAAGAAATATTATTGTATTATAGAGCTTCGGAGAAAACTGTACGTGATGGTATTGGTCTCCATCCTACTAAATCGGCATATAACCCATCCAATACATCCATGACCATATTGCTCGAAGAATGAAAATGAGAAGACTCTAGTATTGTCTCTTATCAACTGGTGCCTAGCAGAGGCTCTTTTGGTACAATCCGTTATTGTTTAATGCAGCAATAGTCATAATTAAGCCTCTTGTAAAAGAAACTTCATAACAGTTAATTAAAATACTCTTCGAATAATAAATGAAACAAACACGTTTAAAAAATCGATTTAAGTTACTTCTTGCATTTCATTTATGCCCTAAGCAGAGAGGATTATGTGCACCCCTATTCAGGATTATCTATTTATAATGTCTTTTCCATAACTATGGAACATCAATAAGACACAGGGAAGACGTGAGCCGTAACTTTCTGAAACTTCTCCCTGAATAGTGATAATTAATAACAACTGTTCTA